CCCCCATCAATGATTTTTAGTCGGCAAATTGGACCCTTAGTCGGCGAATTGAACCCTTTTAGACTAGTTAGTCGGTAAATGTCGACCCTTTCGATATAGGTTATTCGGTAATCTAGAGAGTCGGCAAATGTCGTCATGGCAGTCGGCAAATTTTGGAAAACGAGGTCCTTTTTTTTTTTTTTTTAGTCGGCAAAATGTAATGGCACCCCCTCCCCCACGTGACACCTACTCGCGCCGGCCCTGTATATATATAATGTTCCTTGCTGTTATGTTGCTTATATATATATATATATATATATATATATATATATATATATATATATATATATATATATATATATATATATATATATATATATATATATATATATATATATATATATATATATAAAGAGAGAGAGAGAGAGAGAGAGAGAATGTTCCCTGCTGAAAAAACGATATTTAACAACGTAACAAACCTATAGGTGAACGAGGATACAAAAGATAAGGTTCAAGTAAGTAAAGATTGTCTAAAACTTTTATATTTATACCTAGTAGCGAGGAATTCAAAAAATAATTACTTTAGGTGGATCGTGATTTTTGTTGTGATTACTTCTTGATAGTTTGAACAGTTGTTAAAAAGTAGGGATGCACCGAACGTTCGGCTGTTTTGCCGAACGTTCAGTTCGGCCGAACCTTGACAAATGTTCGGCCGAACATTTGCTAAAAATGCTAATTTAGAAATTAACATCATCGAATCATCATAACTCAGCCTAAATAGCTATAGTACCAATAGATATGGCTTTTTATTGAAAACCCGATTCTTATCTACTACGCATAGTAGGTAAGAATATGTTTTTCAACAGAACACATGAGTACGTTAGATTTACATTAAGTTTTTTGAATTTAGAATAAAATTAATTTGAACGCTTGTATTACTTAAAACCGAATGTATTACGTAAAACTAGTTTACAGTATTTAGAAAAAATAGTACTAGTATAAGTGTAAAATGAAAAATCCTTTCAATTAAGCAATATTTTAGTTAATTTTATCCTTTTATATGCAATAATAATAATTAAACTTAACTTAATTTATAAAATTCATGCAAGAAGCAAATTTCTTATTTTGGAAAAATCGCAAAAATGTAATAATATAAAATAAATTTAAAATAACAGATAGAAACGTCCGTTTTAAGTGGCGCCTATTGCTGCTGTGTTAAAAAAAAATCTTTACAAAGAAAGTTGCTCGTAATTTAGCTACTCAACTAGTTGAAACTGAGAAAATTATTTGAAAGGAATAAACTTAGGGAAAAATATTATTGTGGTGATCAAAAAATCCGATTTATTATGTAGTTATTACTATATAACTATATAACATATACTATTATGTTATTATTATATAACTAAACATGTAATAGTATTAATACTAAACAAATCAACAATTTTAAACTTTCACCAACAAAATAATCGATTAATGAAAACATAAAACATTAAAAACATGAGTGAAAATCAATTATCATTTGTTGTCCTCAAGTTTTAATGAATAAACATTAATTTTTTGCCACTTTCTGGTGATAGTCTGTTTCTATTGGGTTCGTAAATGTTGCCACCTGTACTAAAAAATCTTTCACTTTCAACAGAATATGGTGGTGCTGAAAGAAACTTGTGGGTAATTTTCGTTAAATTTTTAAAAGAGTTTCCACAATTTTTCCACCACATGAGAGGACTTTCTTTTTCCGTGACAAGAGGTTTAAATACACTTCAATCTCCTTGTTTATCACTTGTATACTAGAATTTGATCTTTTTAACCTTTTGCTATTTTCAGTATTTACAAAATTGGAATCACATTCATCTATAGTTGTCAGTTTAGAAACTTTCTGAAAACATTCATTGAACTTTGGATAAGCTGGTTTTGCAATAACTTCATTTGTGTTATGTTCTGAAGGTTCGTCAAAATCAGAATCAGAGGATTCAAGTTCTAAATTACTTTGTTGCATTTCTTGCATCTGTTCATTTATCCAATTTTTTATTTTATCCTTGGATATGTCAATTTATATCTAGGGTCACAAAAAATGGAAAGACATAAATATTTACCATGTAAATATGGACCCAATCTTTTGTCTACTGTCCCACTTAATTGTTCAACTAAAGAATTTATTGTTAAAAAAGCCTCACATACTAATGCTTGATTTTTTAAGAGCCATAATTAAAGGAATAACATCTGACAAATATGATTCACTTTACTTAAATTAATGGTTAAAGTTTTAAATGGTTCTAAAATATGCAACACTTTATCTAATAAGCCTTATTGAAATAAATTTAGTGTTGATTGAGTAGGGTGATCAGCTGTATAAATTGCCATAGAAACTCTTTGATCAAGTATCCTTTCAATCATATCATAAGAATTGTTCCACCTTGTAGTAATACCTTGGATTAACCTGTGCTTATTTGTACTAAGATATTCCTGAATTGCTTTTAATTTTGCTGCTGCTGTTGGCGAATGGTGAAAATGACTTGCCAGACGTCTGCAACAAGCTAAAATATCCTTAAAAGATTTTTGCGACAAAGTTTAGTCATGTATACATAACTGTATTGTATGTATGAAACATGGGATTGACCTAAAACCACTGTCTCTTACACCAGCTACCTTATTGGCGGCATTATCTCTTAAAACAGTATGAATTTTTGTGTGTGGAATTTCAAAACTTACTAAACCTTTATGTAAATACTCACTTATGTTTTTTCCTGTGTGACTTTCTGGAAAATGCATAACTCTTAGTCCTGCTCTGTACTGGGAAAATTCATTACTGAGCCAGTGTGCTGTCATGTTTATGAAGGCAACATTTGAACTACTTGCTGTCCAAATGTCAGTTTTAAGAGAGATATGAATGGCAGCAGATGTATTACTCTTGATAGAACTAAATAGTTTATTATATATTTGTGGAATAATGTTTTCACTAAAATATCTCCTACTAGGCATTTGATAATTAGAACCTAGCTTTTCAATTAATTTTCTAAAACCAAGATCTTCTACAATCGAATATGGTTGAATGTCCAACCATATTTTTACATCAAGCCATCATTTCTTCGTTGTGATTGTGAATTTTGATAACTCTATGATCATTTACATCCCACAGCTTTTTTTTATTAAGACTCTCCGATAATGTTAATTGTTTTTTTTCAGTCAGACTCTTTTTCAGCTATTTTATATTCTGCAAAGTGCTTTTTTTTTAAACCACGTCTAATTGCACTAGTGGTAAATCTTTTATGACAATTACCACCTCTAGAAAGTAATGCTTTGCATTAGTAGACAAATACTAAAATGATTATTTTTCTTTCAAACTTCAAAATATTTCCAAACAGTACTTTTAAATTTTATTTTTGAAGACATTTTTTTATGCTTCTAAATTATTAAAAATATATACTAATTATAAATAAACTTTAACCAAAAAATACAATCTTAAAACATGCCAGATACTAGGTTTTAATATCTTATGTTATACCTTTATTTTTATTAGTTAACTTTTATATTTGTAGAATAGAGTATAAACTTAGCTTAAATGATATAACATATAAGCTAAGCTTTTACTATAGTCTAAAAATATAAAAGTTAGCTAAATAGCTTAACTTTAACAATTAACAAATATTAAAATAAACCCTTAACGTAAAATATTATTTTAAGAAGTTTAGTTTATAAATTACAATATAATTTTATTATATTATAATTTTTATTTATTTATACTCATTATTAATAAGTCATACTCATAAATTTATTTTTTGATTTTTCAAATAAAAACTTCTTAACATTTTTACTTCTTTACACTACATTGTAGTGTAAAGACTAAAAACAATCATCCAATAATAAATTTACTTTTAATAGTTATTTAAAGTTTCTTCACATTTTTAAAATAAATCTAATGCTTTAAAAAACACATTAAATTTTTAAAAATATAGTTTTCACTTCGAGTTCAAAATGTTTTTGACGTAAACCAATGTTTATATTTCGATGGCATAGTGCAATTTCGATGTGGTAAGTGCAAGATTAAAAACTGTCATTTGCGCGCGTAATTATAGTAAGAAGAGTTTTTATATTTACCATATATTGCCAATTAATAGACTCTTTATCGTTTATCGTACACATACCATATTTATGCACGATAAACTATAAATAAAAACACGTTTTTCTGCGTACTTATCTCAATTGGACCAAAATTTGTACTTACCATATCTGTGCACTATGCCATCGATTTGAAAATAGCAAAAGTTCGGTATTCGGTTCGGTGTTGTCCGAACGTTCGGCCGAACTTTCATGGCCAAACGTTCGGTTCGGTGTTCGGCCAAAAACCGGATTCGGTGCATCCCTATTAAAAAATTATCCAGTCAACTTTTAAGAGAATAATTCCACTTTGATTTATGCTTTTAAAGGTTACAACTTACTTTTCAAAATTTTATTTTTCCAACGCAAAGGTGCCATTTTAATTGTTGCTGGAATATTTATAATATCAAGACAAACGAGTATTTGTTTTTAAAAGTTACGTTCTAAATGTCTTTTAAACGTTTTTTACGTAAGAATATTTAAAAGACGTTTAAAAGACATTTAAAATACATTTAGAACGTAATTTATAAAAACAAAACCGTAGGGCTGTAACACAATTTAAACGATTTTTTGGCATCGTTCTCCATCCGGCTAGTCTATTATACCTTTTTAATTTGTTGAGGGGAATTTGCTTGAAAAAAACAATATTATGTATAAATCTAGTGCATTTTCTGCATGTATACACCATACAAATTTGATAGCTGGAAGAACAAAACAATTTTATTACCTTTATCAAAATAAATTTTGCGAGGCTTGTTAAAATATTTGTTATTTGGCACTGAAATAATTTTCGCTATATTTATAAAATATGTTAGTTAAAAGTTGGCGTTTACAGTTTTAACTGTGTACAGTTTTTTGCAAAAATAGAGGTGATGCTCGCATAGCAAACGTTTGCTATGCGAGCGCAACGTTTATAAAAAACACTGTTAAATGAAAACTTCACTGCGTATTTAACACATATTACTTAGTTGATGACTCGAATTAAAACTAAATATTCTTGTAAATAATCATAAACAATCTCCATAAATTCTATAATATTTAGTGTACAAACTCTTCTTCGTAAACATCCTCCACAAAGCGATGGCAGTTTTCATCTAGCTCCTGTGCGACGTCATAAATAAGTCGATCTAATATTTCTTCACTCAGTCTAAAAAAACAATGCGATTTCCGAGTATAGTTCAAAACAACACGTGTGTCAACACGTCAAATCAACGCATCAAACAAATGTTCAAAAATATTTAAACCTACAAATCTAAAAGTTCCAGAATCTTAGCTCCGTTGGAATTTGTAGTTTTCTTATTTTGAATAAATTCTTCGTATCGCTCTTTATGAAAGATTACATTTTCATATACACCGCGAGGAAAATTAATCGACTTGGCTGTAGATGATGCAAAAAATTCTATAATAAATATAATCAAAAATGTTATTTTAGCTTTTTAAAATAAAACAATTTGTATGTGAACTGATTTTCCTTGCTAGTTCTGTAAAATATATACATAAATATAGGCCTCCTCGACTGTCGGGGCCCTCTTGGCTATATATATATATATATATATATATATATATATATATATATATATATATATATATATATATATATATATATATATATATATATATATATATATATATATATATATATATATATATATATATATATATATATATATATATATATATATATATAATTCAAGACTTTTTAAATGTTATTTAAATTACATTTATAATTATTCATTCTTAAATGCTATTGCTTGTGTTTGGTAAAAGTTTCATGTATTTTTGCTGATAAGATTTAGAATAAGTTGGCGAATTTCAGGCAGCATCGAATTTCGTGCAAATAGTCTTTCGCATCAAAAAAATCACACTGACGCTAATTTAATCAAAGTGTTGTTTCACGTTTCAGTTAGTACAACCTTTATACATCAAGTTATTGCTAAACCCAATTCGGTAGTCCAAATATTTATATTAAAAAAGCTATATAAAGTTACGATACATCGATTACGTAAATCTTTTTACACTTAACTTTTACACTTGACAGTACAAAAATGAAACACGACATTTCTTGAAAGAAGTATTAATCCAAGTTTAATAAATTTGGAAAGGTAAAAAAAAAAAAAATAGTATAATAAACAAATACTTTTTTGATGTAAAAAATTTCTGCACGAATTATCGAAAGCATCATATTTCGTGCATTATGCCCAAAATTTAATTTACACAGTATAAAATTTCGTGCATTATTTTATTTTTACCTAACAATGATTTTGAATGGTTTTTATGGTTTTAACTATCTTTAAAAGCATTTTTAAGGTTGTTTGTGACGTTTTAAAGACAAAACAAAAAAATTAAAGCAACAGCTGCGAAATTATCCACATAGCTGGATTTCTTTTAACTAAGCAATATTTGAATTCAAATTTCAACTTTTTAAAAATATAGTATCATCATAGTAGAATATGCAAGTTATAATTTTTTAATCAAGTTTGTTATCGTGACTATGGACTCTGAAGAAAATACAGAAGTACCAAAAACATAACGAGGAAGCTTTTATGGCCGCTGTTGCTGATGATCGAGACAATCATTTTTCATAGAGAAAGGCAAGTTTAAAATATAATGTACCTTCTCAGACAATCGGTGATAGAATAAATGGAAGATACGCTGCCGTCAAGCAAAAGATAGGTTCGTTAGTGTTGTTTAAAATATTTATTTACTTACTATGGTAGATGTAATTCTGCATAAGTAATAAAATTGCATAAGATTTTTTTAGAAGTTAACATATTTTTTTTACTTAAAGGTCGCAAACCTGCTTTAGAAAAAGAGGACGAAGAAAGAATAAAAGTCTTTTTGATTAAAGTAGCAAAAATGGGATATGGTATTTGCCAAAACGATGTACCAAGCATAGTAAAAAATTATTTAGACATTAAAGAAAAGCAACACATAACAGAGCATCGTCTTAACGATAAAGAAAAAAACGATATGATAACTCATAGAAAGTTTGTGAATAATCTGCCAAGCAAGTTTTGGATCTACAGGTAAATAACTGCTACTCTATTAAGTGTTTTGAATATATAATAGAAAAATGACACAAAATTTTAGATTTTGATTGACCTATGATTGTTTTGTATCTTCTTAATTTGTGTTTAATTTGATAAACCTGTTTTTTTTTTTACTTTATATTTGATAGGTTTTTCAAAAGGTATTCAGATCTTGCACGAAGAATGCCTGAAAATTTGGGCCACCAGCGGCGAAACGTTTCTCATGCTAAAATCAGGCAATGGTTTACTAACATAACTATTTGTTTGAAGAACACCAAATAAATGCTTTAGAGTTCTTATTACCAAAAAACTCTAATAGAGTGTTTAATTTAGACGAAGCAGGGTTTCCATTAGCAAGGACAATGGGAAGGCTGAAAATAATTGCCTCAAAGGCTATAAAGAATGTTTATCGCATAGTCCGTGACACAAAATCGCAAATAACAGTTCTTGGCTGTGTATCCGGAGATGGAAACTACCAAAAACCTCTAGTTATATTTCCAGAAACACAGCCTCATTACAATTTAGATCATGTAAACCCATCTGACTATGTTCTTCAATTTAGACCATGTAAATCCATCTAAGTTCAATTCTTAATTGTTTTTTATTTTATTGGTTTATAAAAATTTCTAAGTATTTTTTAGTTTTCTTTAGAGCATTAACGAAAGATATATTTTCAGTGCCATTTCAGAATAATATTTGTCAAATAATGTTTGGGGCTTACCCAAAAGGTTTTTGATGTAGCTTATATAACACTATAAATTTTTTTTAATATCATCACTTGTTTTTACAGGTTCTAAAAGTTAAGAAAGCCTTTTAACTTTTAGGACCTGTAAAAATATTTATTATTAAGCCCAGTGATCGAGCCTATAAACAGGTTTGATCACTAGGCCAAATAAATAGCGTCGGGCCTCACGTTATGTTTCAACAAATAATCCAACTCTAAGTCAGACATTTAATCACTAGCAAAATATTTGCAAAAAACTATATATGAATTAAGTATTGCGTCTTGAATAAATCTACTAAATTTAACTAATAAAAAAAGTGCACGAAATTAAATTTTACTTCGTCAACTTGCACGAAATGATGCAAATCATCAAAAAAAAATTGATAACGAAAACAAAAAAAAATAAATAAAACATAATATTTAATAATTGCCTAAATTATTACTATTTTGTAGATAAAACAGTTGGCTTCCTAAATTAAGCTCATTATACTTTTGGTGGCCGTTTGGTTATATTCTATAACGTTTACGGCAAATGTTCAGCAAACTGCCCGAAATTCGCCAACTTACCCTAATTACTATTGTTTTTTTAAAACATATTTAACAGTAACACCAAAATATAATTATGTAACAGTAACACAATTTTTTTTTTTTTACAAATTTGGAGTTGGTGTCATATATCAAAATTAGCTCTCCGAAAAAATCTGGACTTTCATGTTAATGTTTTTGTTGAAGAAAGTGCTTCATCAAAATATATTACATATCTAAAAATTTTTTTTTGCAATTTGCAAAATTTACTCTAAAAGTTGCGAATTCTTTTTATTTTTTTTCATAAAAGATTTTACAATAAAATATTTTTTTATGGTACATTATGTAGTAAAAAAAAATTAATGAGAAAGACTTTATAAATGCTACAAAAAGTTAACGATGATAGAGAAGTTGTGTGAGGGTGAGGGTAGGGGAAGGATGGCAGGTTAAATCTGTAAGACACATAAAGTATATACTTTAATTTGAAAATCAAAAACATAATAACAACAAAAACAATAATAATAATAAAAAAAAACCTGGCTGACTATTTATTGTTGATTTGTTGCAAGAAGTAAACACTATAGGCTCCGTGGACAAACCTAAATTATAAAAAAAATTAAAGTAACACAGGAAAATTGGGATACTTTAAAAAAAAAAAGTGAACCACAAACTGAAAGCATGTAAAACGGAAACATTTTTGCAGATCGTAAAGGTAATCGATTGTGTAATTAAATAACACTGTTCAACAATTAAAATTTATATTTTTGTATCTCTGATTTTTAGCTTTTTTTAAAAACGTTTCTTAATGCTGTGATGTTTTCAAAAAGTTTGATAAAAAATGAATTAGCTCTAGTATTGAAAACATTTCTTCTTTTTTTAAAGTTTTTTATCTCATATTATAAGTATAAAACCTAAATTGACAATATTTAAACAGAACTTTATATCAAATGTTATCAAGATACTTCCAAGTACCTGTATAATAGTTTTCTGTATATATATATATATATATATATATATATATATATATATATATATATATATATATATATATATATATATATATATATATATATATATTTATATATATATACACACATATATACACACACACACACACATATATATATATATATATATATATATATATATATATATATATATATATATATATATATATGTGTGTGTGTGTGTGTATATATATGTGTGTATATATATATGTGTGTGTATATATATATATATATATATATATATATATATATATATATATATATATATATATACATATATATATATATATATATATATATATATATAGAAAACCATTATATTTATAGGCTGTTGGTGGTTTAGAAATAAAGAGTTCTTTTCCATAGAGAAGGCAAACTGTGGATTGGGATATAACAGAATAGTTGACAGTTTATTCCTTCTTCTTGGACATGTCAGGCTGAAAGGACAATACCATATGAAAATAGAAGTTTGTAACATGATTTGTTGGTTCTCTCTATATCATAGGAGCAGCAAAAGACATGGAATGACTCTTTCAATTGAATGTAGCACCCAATGTTTTTCTTGGTCTATAACTTTTTTAATCACTGGAGTGATAGAACTGGTGTAGAAAATGTTGCTTAAAAAATTTAGCAAGCTAGTAACACAAAAACTTTCAAAACTTGGTTACTGATAACAGATAATTATTCAGTAAATATAATGACCCAGCACAAAATTATTGTAAATGCGATGAATCAGAGGTAAATATGATGACTCAGCAAGACTGAAATAAAAATACACTCAATGCTTAATAAAAAAAAGGTTTCAACCGTTTTCAGTCCAACAGTTTTAACAGTTTCAACAGTTTCTTTTCTTTTACGACCAATAACTTAAATTATTTAAAAAAAAATTAAAATTTATTTTACTAAAACTATTTTTATTCAGTGAAGTATACGTCATTGTTTTCCAATGTCTTCTTATTTCTTCTTCTTCTTTCTGAAAAATAATAATTTTAAAAAATTAAATAAATAAACAAACAAAAAATTTCATTCAAAAATATTATTCGAGAAAACTTGAAAGTATGACTAAGTTGTTTTTTTTTTAAATAAATTTGCCGTTAAAAATAATTACAACTTTCCTATTTGTTAAACATACAAATGGCGGGGGCAAGAAGAAGACAAAATAGTCTTAATGCCAAGTCCCTAATAATCCGTATAAAATAAAGTCATTAAAAAATTAACAATAAAATTTTTTTCAGATACAAACACAAAAATTTTTTAAATAAATTATGATAATAAATTATAAAATTTTTACAGAGCAAAAAAAAAAAAAACAAACAAAAAAATATTCAAAATTATATATAACAGTTTTCAACTATTACAATTAAGAACTCAGAATAAAGAAATATAAAATATAGAATTAAAAATTTATATTTATATATAATGAGAAAATATAAAATAAAAAATAAGAATTTTTTAAATTTTTTTGCAAATAAAATGAAAATATACTATACGATATTTTAAAGACCAATAAATAAATATAGCTCTAGAAGTCCTCCATGATTTGATTAATTAAAATTATTATTATTTTTTTTTGTTTTAATTAAAAATTATTGATGTTTGCAAGCGTTTTGATGTCGTTTCTGATTACTATACTACATAATTGTGTGCCTCTAGCTGAAAAGAAAACTTAGAAAAAACTAGAAGAAAACTTAGTGGTTTTAAAGTGATTTTAAGCTTGAAAATAATTATTTTTTGCATGCCTAGTAAGATATTTGTGCTGTATTTTTTTAAATATCGTTTTAAAAATATTTGTCATTGTATCGTTATTAATTTTGTATATGAAAGTTAAATGATGATATTTATTTGGTAAATATTCAAAATTTTTATATTAATAAATGGTGGCTATGAATGAGAGTCTGCATTGGATATTATTCTTATGACATGTTTTTTTTTGTTGAATAGTTTTTTTAGTTTTTTTTTTTTTATTAGTGCTGCATGATATGTATGATAACATAATTGTGATAACAATGAATAAATTTAAAGTATGCCAATTTTATTTCCGATTAATTATATGTGATTTATCAATGTGACATTTTCATCAAGAAGAACACTTAGAAACTTATTTGAGTGTTCTCTTTTTATAATTTGATTCCCAATGCTAATATTTAGGAGCTTTAGAGAAATTTACTGTCTTTGATAAAGGTAATGAAAAAAAAACAACAACTTAGCTTTGGTTAAGTTTAATGACAATTTATTTGTATTAAACCATTCAGTTACGTTCTTAGCTGACTGTTTTAGTTAATATTTTTATATTATCATGTGTATAGTGTATGTGTATCATGTATAGTGTTTTTATATTATCATGTGAATATATTATTATCATGTGAATATATTATATATATGTGAATATATTGGTATCATCAGCAAATAAAATAAAGTTTAAAATATTTAAATCTTATATTGTTAACGTATATTAAAAATAAAACAGTCTTAAATCGAATGTGTAACTCAACAAGTGATTATCTTATTTTCAGTTTTACTACCATCATAAGAAATGTACTGTTTTCTATTATACAAGTACTTTTTAAACCAAACTATATATGCATTCTTAACTCTGTAACTTACTAGTTTTTTTTAATAAAAAATGGTGATCAACTGTGCCAAAGGCTTTGGCTAATGTCTATAAAAATACCATGAATAGCATGATCAGTTGAATGACCTTTTTTGAACCAGAATTGTTTGTTAAATGAAATAATATTTTTTTAAAAAAAAAAAGAATAGTCAATTATACATTATTTAAATTCTAGAGAAGCAAAGAAAAATGGAGATAGGTCTATAATTAGAAAAGATGAATCTCCCAATTTAAAAACCAGTATAACTCGTGCAGTTTTAAAATTTTCTAAAAACATTCCTTGTTTTAAAGAAAGATTAAAAATATACAATGGTATTATTATACAGAGCATTGATTTTATTACAGTATTACTGCTTATTTCATAAACTCCTAATCCTTTGTTTGAATGTTTGAAAAGCAATTAATAACTCATTTTCAGTTAGTTTATTTATGGTCATTATTATTTTGTTAGCAGTTAAATATGACTCTATGCTAAATTTATCGAGTTTAAGTTTTAAGGCTTTTAATTTGATCCTACACTAAAAAAAACTTGATTAAATGTTTTTGCAGATATATCAAGTAAATATAAAAGTTATATATCTAAATAAATTTTGAAATAACTTTATAAAAATTAAAATACCTCAAATGAATGAAGCCTTTGTTCAATTACTTCGAGATTTGGTCGATCACAAAGAAACGCTGCATCTATTTCAGCTTCATTTTCAAGATCAATTCTAAATAATTCCATAACACTTTGTTTAAAAACAAAATAATATAGAAAAAAAAAGCAAATGAGAGATTTAAAATAGGACACATGCGAGGTTCATAATAAACAAACCTCTGAAGATCAATAGCTGCTTCTAATAATAGATCATCCAATATGTACTCTGCTAAACGTTCACCTTCTGACATTGCCTTGAAGTTTAATAAATAAAGCAACTTATTCACAAACCATTAAAAAATCTGAATGTTAAAAACTTTTGGTTTTAAATTTTAAATCTTATCTTAAAGATAAGACTTATACCTACTTTGCAAACTAATTTTTTTTTTGTTGTTTTGTTGAGGAATTATTGATGTTTTGGTTTTATGTTTTGTTGAGGAATTATTGATGTTTTGGTTTTATGTTTTGTTGAGGAATTATTGATGTTTTGGTTTTATGTTTTGTTGAGGAATTATTGATGTTTTGGTTTTACGTTTTGTTGAGGAATTATTGATTTTTTGGTTTTATGTTTTGTTGAGGAGTTATTGATGTTTTGGCCTCATGTTTTGTTGACAAGTTATTGATGTTTTGGCTTTATGTTTTGTTGTTTTGGTTTTTCAATTTTTCTGAAAAAATTAAAAAATAAAAAATAATAAGATGGCAAATTCATTTTGATATTAAACTAAATACAATTATATTTGTTTTTGAATAAATTTTGAGTCAGTTAATTTAAAAAAAATAGTATGTCATGTGATTTAAATTTGTACAAAGTTATCACAAAATATTGTTCAATATTTTGTAAATTTAAAATTGTTTTTATTACATAATAGTTATGTCATTAAATTAAACACAATTAAAATTAAACACAATTATGTTTTACTTTATTTTATTGTTTGATGGTAATAAAATAGTGATTAACTCATGAATAAAATAAGTAATGAAAATGACAAAAATTACAAGTTTACATAATAAAATCAAATAAATATTACCTTGTTAAGTTATATAACTAAATACTTTCACACAAATTAAAAAAATTTCAATAGATAATTAGAAGAGAATCGACAAAAATTAGTAGATAATAAGAAATTTAATATATGTCCATTAAAACTAATATTTATTTGTTCAAGCAATATGTTCTTTGTAAATATAACTTTATTTTTATTTCGGACATAACGCCCGAAGTGTCCAAACCTGTTTTAGTAAAGTTATAAAACCTTTATCAAAAAGTATGAGAAAAATAAAAATGATGAAGATTTTGATATTGTTAATGAAACATCCATTCATGATAAAAAAGAGGGTGTAAATACATAAAGAGGGACATTACACTTTACAGCTGCTGGAGTATCTTCTATTAATTTCAAAGGATTGCCTAAGTCAGATAAAATCAGAGAAAGCAAACAAAAATTGACAAAAATTGAAGAACAGACAAGTTTGGTAATGAGTATATGAAAAAAATAGTTTGTTTGATAACATGATGGTATTGTTAACAAACAAAATTGCAGACTATACAGCAACATTTAAAAAAATACAACTGAGGACACTTGCTCCAGCTGACTTGTCAATAAAAAAATGTTTGTTACATGCAATGTTTCTGAAACGTTGCATGTAACAAATAATTAGTTTGCATATAAGTTAGTTTTAGAAAAAGGCATTAAAGCCATGTCTAATCCTAAATTAGCAAACGCTCTTCCTGAACAGTTTAACCGGTCTTTTTACAAAGATGGTGAATATAGCTGTATAATGCCTGGTAAAAAGGACTATGAAAGCATAGAAAAAAAATGTTTGTTCTTATGAAATTTAAAGGAATTGTTTGTTCTCTTCAAAACCAAGAACCCAGAAATAAAAATTGGGTTTGCAAGGTTTTACACATTGCGACCAAAATGGTGTATTACTGCTGGTACTTTAGGAATACATTTCGTATGTGTCTGTGTTATTCATCAAAATTTAAAACTGCTTTTACATTCTCTTTGTTAAGAATTGTTACCTTATAATGTATGTGACATGACTAATAAAAACTGTATGATGCGAAAATGTGAAAGATGTCCAGCAACTATAGATGCATTGGTTGAAAAACTTTATGATTTAATTGGAGAGTTTTAAAGATAACAATTAAGTAGAATTTGATCAGGGGACTTAAAAGGATAGGTTGAAAGTGGTGGATAGTTATTTAAGATATTAATCTAGAAGAAAAAGATGTATTTGTCAAATTTGTGTCCAAATGGTCCAGTACAGTTTTTAAAAAATGGGAAACAATGGATAGCCAATGCTGAATTCCAAATATTCATATATTTACAAAGTTGAAGTACCAACTACAAAAACAAGACTTTGCTATTATTTTGACAAGACAACTTTAAAAAATTCGTTTTCCTTTGGATTTTTATGTTTAATTTCAAGTTCACTGTCTCAATGTCTTTTAATGTCTAATTTCAAGTTCACTGAGTCTGATATGTCTTATACATACTTTTTTTTAATCTTTTATTTTTTGTACAAATTATAAATAATGTGAATGAAAAGCATATATAAAATTAGTAAAATTGAGTATTTATTTTTCAAAGGGCTTTTTTTATACTTTTTAATTTTTTTGTAAATAATAAATAAAAATAATAAAGTTACTAAACTGTTAATTTTTAATTTGATTGATTGGTAAAAAGTAAAAATAGATTGAGTGTATGATTTTTAAAATATCACAAAATTTTGTGTTTATATCAAATCACAATAACTACTCAAGTAAAGGCCAAAAAAAAAATGGTTCGTAAAGTTGATATACATTTTTTCTTTAAGAAAATATAAATAAAATTTTTTTTGGATGGATCATGGATCCTAACATAAACTACATTGCCTTATTTTGAGAGATACAAAACTAAAGTTTTCGGATTTAGCAGGTTTAAAACTCTTTTGGTACCATGTTTTAGCATTGCAGCATTACAAAAAGCACCTTATAAGGTTTATAGTAAACGGAAACATTTTTGGCACTTTTCCCCCCTCATTTTTCGGTCAAAATCAAACAAACTTCAAGTTGCTGTCTAAAATGGATAAGAATTTTATTCAAAAAATTTACAGCCTTTTCTAAGTAATGTCTCATGCTGAAATTCATAAAATTTGGTGATGTAAGGTGCAGATTTGTGTTTTTTGAAAATATTTTACTCTCTTTTCTTTTAAATTAAACCTGTCCAAATTACCCATCCAAATTACTTTTAAATTAAACCAAATTACCCATCCAAATTACTTTTAAATTAAACCTGTTCAAATTACCCATCCAAATTACTAACTTAAACCTGTTCAAATTACTCAAGTGTGAAACCATGGACATTAAACTTTAAAAAAAATAGAAAATAAATAAGTCTTACTAAAACAAAGTTTTTTTATGTGACAATTCAAAACTATGAGGAATATGAGGTAGAAAGGAACATGGCAGAATGAAGCAGGATTGAAAATGTCAATAAAATTGTAAATTAAAAAAAAAAAAAAAGAAAAGAATAATACAAAATATCAATTTTAAATGTCACAGAATCACATAGGGAATTAATCTATTAAATATTGTTGCTATTGAAATAATTTAAATATAAATGAGAAGGATTAAAGAGGAATTAAACCAGAGAGGTTGCTCTCTCTGGTTTAATTCCTCTTTGAAATTCTCTTGAAGTTCAACCAGTGAAGTAGCAGATTCAATTAAATTTAAAACAACAAATTAGCAATACCAAAAATTTTCTTTTCGAAAACTTAAATCTTTTTTATTTAGTAAAACAAAAATTTAAATCTTCCTACATAATATTTGTTATTTGTTATAATAACTAAATGTTTCATGTAAAATAATTAATTTTTCATCAAAAGTATTAATGAAGGAAATTATTTGTTTATTAAACTGGATGAGGAAAAAAAAAAAAAGATTTATAGAGTATATTTTCAAATTATAATTTTTAATATTATTACATTATATCTGCCTAAAACTTTATAGCTTTAAATGCTTAAAAACATTTTTTGGTTACCTTATAAATTTATAGTTAGAGGTTGTCCATATATTGTTGCATAATATATGACAGTTTTAGACCCCTCCATCCCCAGTAACAATTTGTCATACTTTACTGACCCCATTTACTGTATTATGCTGTTTTTATGTATAATGCTTACTGTTTTATGCATATTAACCATTATTGTTTAACAGTAACTATTATTATTAATTTGTATTTAATAAGTTAATAATCATACTATTATTATTTATTTATTTATTTATTGATGATATAGCCATTGAATGTGGGTGCAACAGGTACAGTATACATGCGGGTACCATTGACTGGATATTACTGACTAATATAGCTGTAAGCACTGCATTAGTCTACATTAATCAACTAACTTAAATTAGAATAGCTGCAGTGGAGTGTAAAATTAAGTATTTTTTAAAAATTTGAAATAAAAATTAGGGGAATGATTTTATTATGTAGTATGTATTTCTAAGAAACATTTGATTACAAATTACATCTGCCATTTGCGAAGACCTACCACAGAAGACCTACCACAGAATCCACAGTTTGATTCTGAGCAACTGCAATTAAAAAATTTTTTTTTGGTTTAATCAAAATGAAAATATCAATTAAAGGATGAAAATTTTTTTAAATAAATTGTTTTTAAAACAACTTAACAGACAAAAAATTTTTATAAATAAACTAATTTTTATAAAATGCTATATGAAAATTTTTTTTTTAGCTGCATGAAAAAAAAACTTTGACTCTATAAAAAAAAACATTTATTTATAATTATTAGGGGTAGTCAAATCGAGGAAATTTTCAAATCTAAAATACCATACACTCTAGATTTGGGGCAAATATTAAAAAAACAACTAAAAAAATTTTGAGTTCAACAGGACCACTCAATCCATACCCCTTAAGCACTTTTTTATATGTATAAAAATCTCTTCTTCTTTATACATATTTAAAAAATATGTATAAAGAAGAAAAGCATGGTCAGAAAACAGAAAGTGAAAGAACACTAAGGTCTAAAGAAAAACTATTCATTATCGAAGAAGCAAAACCAGCAATAAAAGGTAATAATTAGTTTTATAATAAATCCCTTAAGCTAAAAACTTTAGCTAAATTTTTTATTTATTCTTTTTTGTAATTAACGCTGTCAGCTTCAAACAATGATGGAGAAACTGCAGTACTTAGCTTACAAATAATCATTTTTGCCGAGAACAAAAAAAGCCACTATTCTTGCTTGTCCTCCTGAAAAAAATTTAAAGATGTGCAATAGAAATTAAGTGTGAATTTATTTTGACCAAAATAAAAGAGCCATGGATTAAAGCTGTATTTTCTATACTAAACGATTAAAGTCTAGTGAAAAATCTTTCAAATCCGGACAAATGAATTTTTATAACTTGAAAAGCATGAAAAAAGAGGATCCGCTGCAGATTTAGCACAAGAACAAGAGTTTAAAGTTTACCTGAACAAAATATTTTGGGCTGGCATTCCTGATCTTAGCAATACAATTAAAAATAGCAAAAAAAGATCTGATTCAGACTAGCTTGAGGAATTGGAGTTTTTGGAAGACCAAGAAGGGGAAAGAAGATTTATGCATGGATCAGAAGATAAAAAAAAACAGAAAAAAAGTATATATTTCTTTAAAACCAAAAAAAAAATAAAAAAGTTTGCAAAACTTCTAAGCAATCAACTTACAATTTGCAAGCCACTTAAAAAGATTTAAAATTCGCTCACTATTTCAATTTCTGATATAATTAAATCAAATTATTAATTATTAAATTCTTTTGACTATTTTAGGCATCATTGAGTTGCAGAATGAGAAAGCAGCATGTGAAACAACAATATAAAGAAATAGAGAGTACAACTAATTTGGGAAAGATATATGTAATAGTGAGGACTCCTTGCGTGATTTTAATCCTGGAGAGTGGTTTGAAAGAAAACCTTTTTAACAAAAAGTCACTGCTGAAACTCCCATAGATGTTTTCGCTGGTAATGTAGCTCTTATGGCTTTAATCAGTGATATTTCTCCAAGTGTTTTGCAAAAGTTACAGGTGCAATTCTAACTCAATCAGAAACTAATCTGACAGATTTCAAATGTAGCCAGTCTACAGCAGCTAGGAAAATGAAATATGCCAATTATAATATATGTATGATATCAAAAGATGTTCAACAAACAATGAATGAACCCCCATACCCATGCAAAGTGCATTTTGATGGCAAAACATTAATTAAAATTAACAAAGGGAAAACAATCAAAACTGGCTGTACATATAAATATTAAAGGTGAGACACACCTGTTTGGAGTACCTTTTTTAGCATCATCCTCTTGTGAAGATCAGTGTAATGGTGTAATAGACCTTCTTAAGGAGTACAATCTTGAAGCCAAAGTAGGAGAAATATAATATTCAAAAAAAAATAGTTTTTTTTGAATTAGATTTGTTCAAAATGAAAATCCCTTAAACATGAGAACAATGAATTAATATACTTAATTTAATATTATACTTAATTTAATCTTCAACAGATTTTAAATTTGATCTAATAATCTTTTGAAGAGGCTGTAAAATAAGGAGGTTGTAAAATGAGGAGAATGTCTGACTATTTTTAAGCAGTCTGCTGTGGCAAAGATTGTCATACATTTGGTTAAGTTAACTTGAAGCTTAGTGAAGCATTAGTTGACATAACAATATTACATCAATTACATCAATTGGCATGAACTTTGTCGCCAGGAATTTTAATTAGAGGTTCAATTTAACAAATAGATTCAAACTTTTCTAATCACTTTACTTTATTTTTCTCTTATAGTTTTTCTATGAGTAAATTAATTATTGAAGATCTTAACTCTATCAAGATTTGCAGTCAGGTTTAAAAATAGCTCATTTGTATGCAATATGAAAAGAGTCTCTCCAGAAGAGTTAACAACCCATCATCTTTACCAGATCCAGTCATTAAATTTTTAAAGTTATGTGGTAGTGATGTAGTAGTAGAGTACTTGCTTCATAGGCGAGAATTTCCAACTTCGATCTCCACTATGTCCTTGGTAGTACCTTGCTTAACTTGTTTCTCTGTGTAACACTCAAAGTAACTTTTTAGTAATTGTGCCTTTACTCAAAATTGAAGTAGAATGTTTTTTACCCTTAATAAGCACTTCAATAATTAGTTTCTCTGAAGAAACCTTAGTTTTAACCATAAGTTCTTTTCTGGCTCTCCAAATTTTTGCCATTTTATGCTAAATTAGCCATTAATGAAGTCAAATAATTATATTTGATAAAATCATGAAAGAAAACAAACACAGGGCCAGCAGCAGGAGATGATACATGTTAGGAGAAGTATGTGTTCAGGATATTTATATTTAAAGGGATATTATTGTTCAGGATATTATAGTTCAATTCCTACCACGTCCCTGGTAGTACCACGCTCAACTTGTTTTTCCGCTCAGCGGCCTTGTTCATCAAGGTTCGTGTTTTGGAGTTGAGAGAGGGTTATAACCACAAGTAGCCTCCTCATCTGTAGTAGTTTTATTTTTGTTAACCATTTGTTAACCTTTTTCCATGGAGGATTTTCATAATACAAAGTAATATGTTTTTTAAAAACTTTTGATGATATCACCTCATGATGCTCACCTCATGAGGTGATAACATCAAAACAATTATTTGGTGTTCATGATGAACACCAAATAATTGTTTTGCAAACTTATGAAAGTTTACAATGTAACAGATGAGCTTTGTTTTAATTCTAATGACAGGTATTGGATAAACATAATTTACCCATAAATTGAATAGTTCTACACTAACATCTCCATGAACGCTGTATTTAAAGACATCTTTCAAGCACTTGCTTTAAAGTGTGAAGTTTAAAAAAAGGAATAAAAAAGCAAAAAATATAAACAAAAAATTCAAATTCAAATCAAACAAAAAGAAAATAAACAAGACAATAAAAAACCAAAGCTAAAAAAAAAAAAAAACCTTTTGAGAGGCAACATCTGCTAGTCTTCGATAAACTGATGATTTATAATCTTCATAACGTTTAGCATCTTCATCTGCAATAGCCTGAAATTTAATACTATTAAGTTTAAGCAAAACAAAATGCTCTGATGTAAGTTATGTGAATTCAGTTGTAAACAGTCTTTTGACAATTACTGTAAATTTATTTCTCTATGACACTTATCACTGATAAAAAATATATATTAAACTTTAAAATATAAATACTTTTAAAACACAAAAATATATAAAATATAAAAGATTCTAAATCTTGATTCTAGCCTGGGCCTTATCCAAGAGAGGTTTTAGTTTTTCTTTAATTTCTTCTTCTGCATTGAGAACAAGCAGATCTTTATTTGCCAATTCATTTCTATTTAATAAAAAAAACAATAATGTTGAAAAAAAAAATTAAATTAAATTATTATTTTCTAAATATTTAAGCAATCAAAAAAAAAAAAATTTTAAAGGATTTTAAAGAATAGGAAAAAATAAGTAAAAAACAAAATAATCAAATATAAATAAAGTGTTAAAACAAATGAACTAATGAAAATTGTTTTTTGCTTAATAGTAGCTTAAATCATAAAATACAAAGATACTAAACTAAAACTTTTTATTTAAATATACTAAACTCTATATTTAAATATACTAAATATTTCATTTAAAGATACTAAACTTTCCATATAAAGATACTAAATTTTCTTTAGTGTCACTAAATATTATAAAATTCTTTTCTGCTTTTAGTTTACTTAGATTGACATTTGTTTTAAATAACAAAGAGCACTAGTTTGTATAAATAAAAACTTTTTTTTTCAAACTGTTTTTTTTGTGCAAATTACTAAATTTGTTTTTCTTTCCCTCAAAAAAGATACTATATGCTTTCAGATAAAAATTCCATAATTCCATAGTAAAAATTTATAATAACTTATCTAACTTTTCATTTTTGATTTGGCTAAAATGTTAATGTGAATGGCTAAAATTAGGACTGAAAATTACTAGAAATTTTCTGGAAAATTTTTGGTAATTTTTTTTCTATAGTGTTTTTAGAAAATTGCAAGAAATTATGCATTTAATCTTTTTAAAAATGAGATAATTGTCATACTTTATTTGGGCAAAATACATAAGAATGAAAAACCACAAGTAGTTTTGGAGAAACTTAGTTTTATATTAGATTCTATATTGCAATTTCTAAATCGTTTTAATTATAACAAAAAAAGAAATTTTTAAAAGACCTGCTACCTTTATAGGCACTACATCTTTATTTATATATTCATCTTTCTTGATATATTTGTAAAAGGGTTGAAAATTTCTACAAAAGCTTATTAATACCTGTAATATATACACAAAAGAAAACTAAATAAAGTAGAATGCTGACAAAACCGAGATCCTGCTCACCAAAAAAAAGCAAATTAAAAGCCGCAAAATAACACTAACTACCAACAAACCAATGTCATGATGAATTTAGTCATTTTTACATGGGATACAAAAAGTTTACTTTTTGCCTCACATAATCGTTTAAATATTGATTGCCAAATAATAAATTTCCGGGCAGTAATCCAAAATTTATTTTAATCTGGAATCTGTTTTGCTCACCTAAACTTCATTGTCCAGTTATATAAAACTTTGGCTTTTCCACAATCTTATGAAGAAACACACTGAAGTCACTACTCAACGTTTCAAAACATAGCATTACTTATGTTTATACCTTATTTTTTATTGAGGATATATCAATAATTACATAACAAAACAAGCTAAACTTATTTATTAGCCTGATGAACAAGAAAATGACATTTGATATTGTCAAGTCGCAGCTAAAAAACAAAACAGCTCCACAACCATTTTTTTAGGTAGTGTCAAAGGTTTGTGTAATAGTCATGAACTAAATCTAGAAAAAAATAATGCAAAGTAAAACAAAATATATATATATCATTGGCTTGATAAATGTAATTCCTGAAACAAATCTTCAAATTCTAAAATGTGCAGTAGAGTGCTGGAACTCAAAAGAACTAAGTAAAACAATGTTGTTCTTATTTGCTAGATCATAAGCTAATAAATTTAGGCCATGAGAAAAACAGCCATATGCTGACATCCAATCATATTTATTCTCTATTAATTTCCAAACTGCTACCATGTTAACTGCTACCATGTTAGCTGCTACCATGTTAGATGCTACCATGTTAGCTGCTACCATGTTAGCTGCTACCATGTTAGCTGCTACCATGTTAGCTGCTACCATGTTAGCTGCTACCATGTTAGCTGCTACCATGTTAGCTGTTACCATGTTAGCTGCTACCATGTTAGCTGCTACTATGTTAGCTGCTACCATGTTAGCTGCTACTATGTTAGCTGCTACCATGTTAGCTGCTACCATGTTAGCTGCATTGTCAGTACAAAAAGCTTTTATTTTTCTATTGTTTTGATATTGTTTTATCTTCAAAAATCTAAACAATTTGATTAAATATCCAGTATGAAAGTTTTCTTTTGGATAAATACTTCTGATGTATATTGGAGTTGGAATAGCTAACATAATTTGAATGTGTGAATCATTACTTAAACAAGACCAACCATTTGTTATCAGAACCAAAGTTTTTGACTGGGATATTAAATCTTGTTTGTATTTATTTACTTGGTCATACACTGTGTCTAAAAGATTATGGACTCAGGGCATAATGGTTGGTAGGTGACCAATCTGGTTGAATCTTTTTAAAAAAATTAGTCCAGAATGCATTTTCTGACATTCTGAAAGGGCTAGCTGTTGCGTAAATTGCTCTTGCACATTGTATATTTATTTCACCACACTCATTTTATTTCATCATAATTGTGCTGAAACTTTATCAAAAAAATACAATATTGATTTTTGATTACTATTATATATAGAGGTTGAACAAACAGCTTTTTTTTTCTAAAATGTTTCAAAAAGATCATTCCTGTCCTCTGTAGAGTTTTGTCTGCGAAATTTTGCTTTGCAGTATGTACAAATAAATGCTGTTTTCTCATCTTGACATAATTTTTTTTTAAAGTGACCATCCCAGACTTAGTTGTTGCATAAAAAAAAATTATAATTATATAATTGTTGTAATGTTTTTATTGTTATTATTTCAAAAAGAATAACAACTTAAATATATAACATATATAACATATATAATGGCAAATTATTTTTGTTTTTCTTGTATCACCTATTCTTAGGTTTAGGGTGACAACTTAATATAAATTATTAAAAAATGTCCAAAACGAATATTTGTGTAGCAATCATTTCAGATACTCTGAAAATATACACCGACAATACTATAAAGTTTTGATACTATTAAAGATTCTATAAAGTTATCAAAAAATTAATATTATTATTGCACTTATACCAATTTATAATGTTGTATATAATAAATAAGTAAATAAGTTATTTACTTATTTACTTTATTTAAAAAATCTGTTAGTATTTTTACTTATAATCGTATTCTTATTAGCATTATCATTATCATCATCATTGTAATTTAATTGTTGTTGTTGTAATTATTATTTTTACCATTAGATGCTTACTTATGAACTACTTACTAACAATATTATTATATTACCTAGGTATTTATTTCTAAAGTTTATTGATTTATTTATATTAACCTTCTTTATTAAAACAGTAAAATTATGGTAAACATTAAAAAAAAAAATCAGAAAGGCTCTTAAATTTTTTTTTTAACAAATATTATAAAATTCACAAAATTTTCCCAATTTCCCAAAAATTACAGGAAATTTTCAACCCTAGCTAAATGTCAATGTGAATGGCTAAAATGTTAATGTGAAAGGCTAAAATGTTAATGGTTAAAATGTTAAAGTGAACAGCTAAAATGGTAACGTGAATGGTTAAAATGTTAATGTAAATGGCTAAATGTTAATGTGAATGGCTAAAATGTTAATGCGAATGGGTAAAATGTTAATGTGAATGGCTAAAGTGTTAATCTGAATGGTTAAAATGTTAATTTAAATGGCTAAAATGTTAATGTGAATGGCTAAAATGTTAATTTGGATGGTTAAAATGTCAATGTGAATAGCTAAAATATTAATCTGAATGGTTAAAATGTTAATGTGAATGGTTAAAATGTTAATGTGAATGGTTAAAATGTTAATGTGAATGGCTATAATGTTAATGTAAATGGCTAAAAATTGGCTTAAAAATGTCAATTGCAAATAGATGATGAAAATTATCTATTTGTAATTAACAATGAACAAAAAATTTTCATAAAAATTTCTTTAAAATATATATTTACATTTTTTTTTAATTTTCTTTTTCTTTAAAAATATCTGCAAAACCTTTCTTCAAATTCAAAAAAAAATTCAAAAAAAAAATTTTTTGGACCAAGTAAGTTTTATAGTTTTTAGAAAACTTTTAAAAAACACAAACTTTAAAAAAATTAATATAAAACAAACCTCATATCTTTTAAACCTTTGCTTGTCATTTTTAGAATATTGTTTGATTTTTCGAACTAAAAATAATATATATATATATATATATATATATATATATATATATATATATATATATATATATGTATATATGTATATATATACACACACACACATATAAATATATATATATATATATATATATATATATATATATATATATATATATATATATATATATATATATACACACACACACACACACATATAAATATATATATATATATATATATATATATATATATATATATATATATATATATATATATATATATATATATATATATATATATATATATATATATATATATATATATATATATATATATATATATATTAGGGTGGTTCAATAATGGGTTGTTGTAAAATTTCAACAAGAGTGGAAGCTTATAAGGTGCCCAGATATTGGTTTTATATATAAATTTTTTTTTTTTTTTTTTCTGTTAATGTTCAAGGGTGGCCCACGGGCCCTAAACATTTTAATTTTGATGATGTTTGTTGATTTTTCGGAAATTTCAATGCCCGTGGTCCACCCTAAAACAATGAAAAAAAAAAATCACCAGTAAACTCAGAATGAGTAATAGAAACAAATAAAAATGCACTCTTAATGAAATTTTTTATGTAAAAAGTCTGAATGAACCTGAAAAAATTAGGAAAACCGAATATTTTTTTTTTTAAGTTTCTTATGACGACATTTTTATCATTTTTTACAGTTAAAATCTCATAAATATGTGTAGAAAATCTTTTACCAGTATAAATATAATAAAAAATTTTTTTTTAGATAATTTTAAGATGAGAAAGAAGACTATCTAGACTTCAATGTACTCTATAACCCACGTATTTTCTCAGCGTACAACAGTACTGAGTACAACTGTACACATTTATTCCAAACTGGCAATAAGACTGCAAGTGACGTCAATCAAGTGTTTGAACTCGTAGCAAAACTTAAACAAATACAAGTGAAGTTCTAAGAAATAATAAGTTAAATTATGTTATGTCTATTATTTCTTTTATAGTTAAATAGATAAAATGCCAAGAACTCCTGGGAAAAAAAGAAAGAGGGCTGATGAAATATTCTTAGTAGGTAAATCAAGGGACTCACTTCCATCTAAGCAATTTGCCACAGGAGAAGAGATTATTCAGTATTACCTTTACCTTCGTAAAATCATGCCTTATACTTCTCTAAGAAATCTTTCCTGCTGTACCAACAGTAATGGTTTTACACAAATCTGTCCAGAAGATAAGAATCACTGCTGTAGTATGTCTAAGCTGGTGGTTCCTTGGAAGCTTGGGGGTATAGAACTCGTGATGTACAGAATTCTCTCAGGTTTGTTTCATTAATATTAATATAATTTGTAATTACTTGATTACTTTATTTGTAATTACTTGAAGTCTTTTATCATTATTCATTTTAGGAAGGAAGTAGAAACATTGCTGAATAACTACAAGAAGTTGCAATCTCATAGGAATAGAGGAAAACCAGCAGAAATCATGAAGAGGGAGAACTTTGTAACAGAATCTAAGAAGGTATTTTGGATAGGATATAACATAGAAGTATTAATTGAAGACATACAACAGGACAGAAAAAGAACAGCTGAAGCCAAGAAAGAAGATATCAAATTCTTGAATATGCAAAAGGAGAAAAGGACACGTTACATAGGACCTAACGACACCAGCTTCAAAAAGGCAGCTGAGAGAGCTCCTAAAAATGTTTATGGAGATGTGTGAGAAATCTGATGAGCAGTTGGTGGAATTAGATGAAGATGAATTAGATACTTCTTTTGATTCATTAAGTAATGCAGGTGATGTCAATGAAAGTGATCTGGATGAGTTTGTTTCCACAAATATTCAGGATAAAGAAAATAGTGTACTTTTACTTAAAGATATTCTCAGGCGTACTGCTATAACTGCTGCAGGTGAAGGTCTTTCAGTGAATCAGCACACTGCTATCATAAGCAGTGTAATAGCTCTCTCAGGAGGAAATGTTGGTAAATATGTTGTCTCTAAATCTTCTTCTTTAAGAGCCATAGATCATGTGATTAATTCAGAAGCTGAAAAAATTTGACAGTGCATCAAGAACCTGGCCAACTTATGTCATAAATTGATTTCTGTTCATTTTGATGGAAAGATAGTAAAACAGTACACAGGAAATTTTTCACTTACTCAAAAACTGAGTTACTAGGTATTCCTCCTATTGATTCAGGGACTGGAGAACAGCAGTTCAATGCTATTTATGAACTTCTAGAGAATAATGGTCTCACTAACCAAGTGCAATGTATCTGTTTTGATACCACTGCATCAAACACTGGAAGGCTTCAAGGTGTAAATACCAGAATTTTAGAAAAGTTAGGACGGCCACTTCTTCTCCTTGCCTGTCGACACCATGTTCTGGAGCGTCATATTACTCACTTCTGCAAGATGTACCCAAGTAATAAACTTACAGGTCCAGATAACCAGCTGTTTAAAAAAATCAAGTTAGTCTGGAATGGTCTAGAGAAAGATATACTGCCCCTGAAAAGGATTGAAACTCCACCTGAAACTTGGATAAACCAACAGCAACAGGAATCTGAACAGTTCTACAGAGATTTAATCAACAATAAGACATACAAGAAGGTAAAATGAATCATTCATTCTAGTATATTATTATTCTGTAACTTATTTTTGTATGTATTTTAATGTTTAAAAACAATAATTAATAAAATACAGGATGGGAAATCAAGAAAAGATTACCAGGAGTTAGTTGAGCTCTCTTTGATGATTGTAACTAAGGAGGAGAGGTTCAAGTTTCATATGCCTGGACCTGTACACCATGCCAGGTTCATGGCTAAAGCCTTGTATTATCTGAAAATGTACCTTCTACTCGATCACATTCCTGGTTTAACTAAAGAGAACAAAAAGGAAATATCTGATATGGCTATGTTTGTCAGTATATTTTATGCTCAATGGTTCCTTAGAGCTGAGTTGCCAGCTGCTTCTCCATATCAGGTAAAGTTATAAAAGGTTTAGAATAAAAATAAAAACGACAACATGTAAACTATAACAATTGAATATTATTTACTTTAAATATTTAATAGGACATAATAGCCCTCTGGCAAATGAAGAGATTTATGGAAATAAATCTTCCTGGAGCTACTGAAGTAGTTCAATCAATGTCAAGGCATGACTGGTACTAAAGTCCAGTTCTAGTTGTGTTTGCTTTAGCTGATAAGAATTACCCTGATAGAGACGAGTTAGCTCAGAAACTCTATAGTACTCATTTAGAAGACCCAATGTCTTCAAACTGGAGCGTATTGAAGTAGATAAGAAAGTTATTCACTCACTAAACTACTCCCAAAATCAGCCTCCATCCCTAGCATCTCTTATTGCAAACCAATCTTGGCTGATCTTTGATAAGATTGGCCATGGGAAGGGGGAGTTGCAGTGGCTTAAAACCCCTTCACAATTCTGGGAGCTGAATGATTTTTATCTAGAGTTTGAGACTACCATCAAATCTCTAGATGTAGTTAATGATTCTTCTGAGAGAGCTATCAAATTAGTTCAGGAACTTATTATGAAATCCAATAAGGAGGAGGAGGCAAAATTTTCTTGTTTAACCATGTCTACAAGAGAAGTAAACAAGGATCCAAGAAGAACAATCTGGCAGCAAATGCTACTTCCAGCATTATTTGACTTTTTAGTCAACAAAACTGTACCATGACCAACAAAAAAAAAGATTTTTTTTAATACTTTCTCAAATTTATATATAAAATGCAATATTGTGATATCTAAAACCTTTGATGGTTTAACTGTAAAAAATGATAAAAATGTCGTCATAAGAAACTTAAAAAAAAAAGCTTGAAAAAGCAAAATATTCAGCTTTCCTAATTTTTTCAGGTTCATTCAGACTTAAAAAATAACTACATAAAAAATTTCATCAAGAGTGCATTTTTATTTGTTTTTATTACTCATTCTGAGTTTACTGATTTTTTTTTTTTTTTAATTGTTTTAGGGTGGCCCACGGACGTTGAAATTTCTAAAAAATCAACAAACATCATCAAAATTAAAATGTTTAGGGCCCCTGGGCCACCCTTGAACATTAACAAAAAAAAAATTAATTTATATATACAACCAATATCTAGGCACCTTATAAGCTTCCACTCTGGTTGAAATTTTACAATGACCCATTTTTGAACCACCCTAATATATATATATATATATATATATATATATATATATATATATATATATATGTATTTATATATATATGTATATATATATATATATATATATATATATATATACACACACACACACACACACACACACACACACACACACACATATATGAGTCATCCAGAATTAGTTGATATTTAGTTGATATTGGTGGAAAAATGGATAAAACATTTAGCAGCCAATTAATGACCAACAATAGGTAATTGATTTGTATATATTAATATATGTTTATTAAAGTTGAATAAGCGTTTACAATAATTATAAAACATGAGTTGTAATTGCAAATATTTAATAAATGTACACATAAAGAAAATTAAAGTGTACATTACAAACCTATTAGTTTATAGATTTATTAAACATCAATTAAACGTTTAGATTATTGATTAAACATCAATTAAACGTTTAGATTATTGATTAATCGTTTTTAATGTCGATTGATAGTAATCAATACTGTTATCCTTTCAAAAATTGTAAATCATTCAATATGTGTACATTAAAAAGATAAAAACCTACTTTACATAAAACTGAATAATGTTTGAATTGATGATATTATTTAAATAGTTTAAAGCCAGTAAACACAAGATGTGTTTAGCTTGTCTAAAAATTTTATTACAATGTTTAAATATGTTTTTAAACATTTTGAACATTTAAATTTATAATTAAAAAATTAAACATTTTTTAATTACAAAGACCACATTCTTTGCAAGAAATTATTGGACCACAAGTAATCTTGTGGCATTTTTTACTGTACATCAATGAAAACATTGAATAGGTAAAATGTTGAAAAAAGTCTTTCATTTAGTTTGATTCATAATAATATAATATAATCATTAATGTACCTTATATTATTGTATTAGTATATATTAATAGTTAATTATTATACTATTATAGAGGTAAGACTGTATCATCTTGTATAGCAAGATTGATAAATAAAAGAATCCTAAAATTCAAAATGTTAAATATTGGTCTCAATTTAAATGCTTTTTTATACATTTAATAATATACGCCAAAAATAGGTTTGAAAATTGACGTATAATGGACTTTTTTTTAAATGTTATTCTGGATTTCATTCTGAATGGATAATAAACCAAAAACAAAGGTTTGGTTAAAATTTATTTTGAGGCTAAATAGATGTTCATGTGTTTATTGGGAGATTTAAAATAATATTTAAAAATTTCAATTTCTAAATGTTATTTTAGTTTTTTATAACTACAAGATCAATTCAAGAGCAACATAAATAATTTACTAAAACATGTGGCATGTTTAGTAGGGTGTGTCATACTTTTATGCATGTTTAGTAGGGTGTGTCATACTTTTATGCATGTTTAGTAGGGTGTGTCATACTTTTTAAAAATTGAACTTTGCTTTGCATAACTAAAAAAAGGGTGAGGTTTATCATTAACAGTTTAAAACTGGTAATTAAGCACAAAAAAAAAAAGTTTTATCTACCAAGGAATCAGTAGCAGTGTGAATACTGAAAAATTTAAAATTTTTTTATCTTTTTATTTATTATTATTAAAATTGTTAAGAGCATTTCCTATTTCTAAAACAATAATTTATTTTTACAAAAATATCAAAAAGGATTTTGCCCTCTTCACCATACCAACGGGCTCACTGTTGAAAGTGTAAAAATGAGATAGAGAAAGTTAAAATGTGTTATAGAACTAAACATAAAATGCTTTTTATAAATCCATGAAACATATTTACTGAAACAATAAATTACAGTACAATCATAAAGATTATTTCTTAAACATTGCCAAGCCAATAAGGTTTTGTTTGGATTATGTGACATGAATTTAAAGGACTAGAGTTATCTCATTCATATTGAAACTTTTCTCTTCTTTGTTCTCAGAACAAAGCATAGTTTGAAGAATAGACTCGGACAAAGCATACCAAGCAGATCACTTAATAGTTGGAATGATTATATTCTGAATATCAAGCGACTGGTGTTGAAGCTTAAGCAGGTAAAGAATATGGTTTGGTCCTTCTATCCAACTCTGCTTAACTTTGATGTTAAACCAGACAGAAAAATACACTCCTACAATATACTATACAAGTTTTAGAAGATTTTAGGCAGCATTGCCTTAAAGACCATGATGAAATACCCAAATTCTACAGATTCTATTGGTTGTTGTTCGCCATCTGGCTATGTGAACAGGGCTAATTTCAAGAAGTTCTAGTTGCTGAGGAACATGACCACTATTTGATAACCATAATACTGATCAGTAGAAATTTCATTCACTACATTATTACTCAAGATAATAAAAGGCTCACCAATTTCAATTTTAGTAAAAAACAGGTTAATTTCAAGATTGGTTACTTTGTCATGTAAGTTTCCAATAGGTCCACTCCATTTTTTACTGTTTTTAGATTCTCCATCTAACAATTTAATCAGATGTTTCAATGATAGCTCATTGGTGTGAAGAGCAGAGGTAATCTAATTTAACTTTCATCCTTACTTTAGCTCCGTTAAGTGCATTACTCCTCCTGTTATTAAGTTGTGTTTTAAACTGGTTACAGGAGGCTTAAATAAAGCATTGGCCACAAGCCATTTTTCTGAAAGTTTAATGTAAATATCCTGGATTAACTTAAAATTATAGTTTTTTCTGTTTAGTTCACTGGTTTTTCTTAGAAAAATACCATAGCTTAACACATCTCTCAGAGTTGGCAGTTCAGCTGGTAACTCTTTTCCAGATCCCAAATATGCATGTAGAGAAGAACCATTCTTTCTCCTTGTTCCAGCAGCCATTTTATATTTAATACTTTATATCTAGTAATTTTAAAAATTTAATTAGAAATGTAATAATTATAAATTTAAGTCTCAAATAAAAAGATAATAATATCAATATTAATAAAAATCATTATCTTGTTAAGCTATTCTTATATAAAAATAGTATAGATTAAGAATTGAAGAATACAGAAGCATAGTCTTAAATAAAAAGAAACAAGAGCAATCCTGGCTCTATCTCTTTTCATCCATTAAGTTTCTCTTTGTTTACTAAAAACTATATTTCTCAAATCGTATCCCAATATAAAAACCTGTAAAATTAAACAAAAAGTAACTTCTTCCCCAGTTCCTTTTGATAACTTCACTGACAATATATAAAAATCAATAACTTGTGTACTAAATATTTAAAAAAAGTATTTAAAAATAAAGTTTCCATTTAGCTATTTGCAAAGTGATCTAATAAAAAATGTTTTAGTTAAGTTCATATTGACCCTGAAAATATGAAAATATGTAGAAACTACCTTTTTTTGCAATTTTTAAGGCAATTCCCTGGTAGCTTCAACTCGTTTAAATTAAAATTTTTTGATAATTTTGATTTTGATATTTTAGACCTCACTTTTTTTAATAATGCCAATGGAAAATCTGATTTTTTAAGTTTTGACCAAAGTATGAAGTTTAGTATGTTTGTTGTGTAAGAAATGAAGATGTAATTTTAGCTTAATAGAATAATAAATAAATAATATAAAATTTTAACTTAATAAAAATCTTAGAAAATATTGTTAATCAAAAAGTAGGGTATGAAAATAGATAATTAAATCTTTCCATTAAAACATTAAATTAAAACTAAAAGACCATTAATTAATAAATGGAAAACAAAAATTTGATCTTACGCAGGGGTGTAGCCTCATGGTTGCCTAGTGGCACTGGACGACTTATTTTCTCAAAAAAAGACTTAAACTTTGAAAAAAAATGCTTGCTGGTAGTATTACAGAATGACTAGACAGTTTGTTACTCACAAAAAAGCGTTTATAAATAAAACCATATTTCAAACTATAAAGATTTTACTCATTGTTTTATTTAAAAGAAACCTTTAAATATCGTTCAAAGTATATAAAAATGTATATAAATTATACACTGTGTTTAAAAAAGAATACACTACAAGGTATTACAGAATTTTACTAAACATAATTAAAAAAAACTTCAAAGTGCAAATGTATAAAAAAAAATTAAAATCGCATTTTGAATCAAACTTTTTCTCAATTCAAAATGAGTTTCAAAATTTACATTTTCTTTCAATTCCAAAATGCTTATGTTTCATTTTTTTTAAATGTTTTAGTTATATTATGAATCACATAGTTACTTGAATCATTAAAAAGTTGAACATGTTTTTCATTAGTAAAATAATTTTATTTAAATGTTGCAAACAAAATGAACGTAATGAAAACCATTATCAAATTTTTTTAAAAAAGTAAAATAAATTAGTTTAAAAACATGTTTTAAACATCCGACTAATTTGATTTAAGATTAAAAATAATAGAAATAAAAGAAAATAATAAAACAAAATAATAAAAGAAAATAATAGACAAAATTTAATTTTTAATAATAACAAAATTAAATTTTTTTGTTTATGGTTTTACACCTTTTTGCTCCACGCTATGTCCTAACCGTTAATTTCACTTTTATTTTTTATCAATAATTCATTTTTAATTAAACAATTCTTTTTTTCTTCAGTTTTTTTCATCTAAGAAAAAAATACCTAAAAAATTAAAAAAACTTTTTCAATACAAATATTTCATTATTCCTATCCACCACTTAATTTTTGATTAACAATATTTTCTGAGGTTTACATAAATTTAAAACTTTAGCTTAAATTACTTTTGGAAGATCATGTAAGAAACTGTGAGAGGTTAAAGTTGATAAACTAAATATCAACATAGTAATAATAATTTTTTGTCAATATTTTATTTATTTACGTATTCAAGTCTCACTTCATTCTGAGATTCGTCAATTGATAATCTTTTTTTCATTTTTCTTTTATCATAAGGGGCCTCAGTATGGGATTCAACGCTATTACTTGAAGCGGGTTCTTGGAAAACAAGTGAAGACTTAAGAAATCCAGATTTGTTGACAGCTTCTTTCACCTTAAAAAAAGTACGAAAATCTATTTCAGATTAAAAAAAACTATAAAATACGAGATACTATATTAATTTATTACTATTTCATATTTTCAACAAGACAAAATCAAAACCAAAAATTGAAACAAAAGTTAACCATAAAAATAATAAAAAATTATAAAAAAGCAAAAAAGACAAACAAACAAATACTATGTTGTTATCTTTTTCTTTATTTCGCATATAGTAATCGCTGCTTTGTTTCTCTACAGGTTGTTTCTCACGTATTCTAGATACTACAGTTGGTGCTGCAAAATTCATTCTTGAAGATTCAGTACTTTGAGTTGCAAATTGCTTTGTTTTTTTCTAAAAAAATATAACATTTCTAGTTTAAACATAAAAACAAGTCAGAAATAAATATGTTGAACATGAAAATATTTACCTCTAAAGATTACTCCTAAACAAGAACAAAGTAGGTTATGTATATATATATATATATATATATATATATATATATATATATATATATATATATATATATAAATATACATATATATAAATATATATACATATATATATATATATATATATATATATATATATACATATATATATATGTACATATATATATATATATATGTTTATATATATGTACATATATATATATATATATGCTTATATATATATACATATACATATATATATATATATATATATATATATATATATATATATATATATATATATATATATATATATATATATATATATATATATATATATATATATATATATATATATAAATATATATACATATATATATATATATATATATATATATATATATATATATATATATATATATATATATATATATATATATATATATATATATATATATATATATATATATATATATATATATATATACATATACAGGGCTATTAAGCGTATCGCGATTGCTTTTTATACTTTTGCAATTAGTTTTTTCTTAAAACATATTTTTGCGATTTATTTTTTGGTTTTATGGTTTATTTTTTTAGTTGTTTATTTACTTTTTTTCTAATTTAGCTTTTTCTTTTAGCAATTCTTAAAAAGTAATGTTTTCATAGTAAAGTACCTCACATAAAGTTTTTTACTACTTTAAGTATAATAAAATATATATTAATTCATTTTTATTAGATAAAATTTCTATTAGTAAAATTGTACTAATAGAAACCAGCAACTTTTTTGCTTTCACATTTTTTTGCTTTTAACAACCTTGAAACTATTGAAGTTATATTTAGTTAACTTTACTGAATGGATAGAATATATCACAGTAAATTAACTTATAACCTAAATTAAAACAGCCAGTTAAGTGAAGATGGTAACTTAAGATAGTTACTCAAGTATTAATTTAACAATTATATTAATTTATTCAATTTAGATTTTACATGTTGTTAAAACATAATATAAGCTTTTAACTAATAATTATTTTAACAAAAATTGTCGAATAGAATATGAAAAACGCGACACCATTTTTTTATATTTTCATTTTATTTATAGCGACATCTAGACTAAACATTTTCTATAAATACAATTAGAATAGAAAAAAAATTGAATCAAAACATCAGTTTAAAACCTTTTGAATGAAAAACTTAATTATACTTAAATTTTTAATAGCACGCTCGATCAGGAAACGATAATTTATAAATCGTTTGGTCTATAGATTACAAACTCATATAGGTCTATAGGTGCAAGTATGAAGTTTTGTTTTAGTTTATTAACTAGCTCAATTTTATTTATTTGCTTCCTTTTATTTTAAACACATTTTATTTTATAAACTGTATAAATCAAAACGAAACAGCGTCACGAATTTGTTTTACACTATTCCAAGCTCTTTATATTTTTAAAACTACTTTACAGTTTGTTTTAATGTTGTTTTATAGCTTTTAACAATTAAATACTTTTTTAAATTGACACGTGTTTTAACGTCAGCATGAACGTGTTAAATAGTTTTTTTTGAATAATTAAAGTGGTTTAGATATTGTAATGTTGCTTTTTCTCTTACTTTTTTACTTTTACTTTTTTAAGTACCATGTTAAGTAAAAATATACTTAAAGAAATATCTTAATAGTATTAAAAACGTTATTGCTTATTACAACTGAAACTTAAATTTTAAGTTATAACTTAAGTTGTAAATAATAACAGAAACTTACGCTATTTTAAACTCTACCAAACAAGAAAATTTTAAGATTATATTTAAATATGAGAGATAATATGTTAAAAATAGAACAATTACATACAAAACTTACAATTATATACTAACGCAACTTCCCTCCCCCACCCCCCACCCCCACATTACCATAAGGCGGCGCAAGGTATAGGGGAGGGGGGGGAGGGGAGGGGGTAAAAAATTTTTTTTCACGATTAGATTTTTTTGCGTTAATTCGAGCCCTGATATATATATATATACATATATATATACATACATATATATATATATATATATATATATACATATATATATATATATATATATATATATATATATATATATATATATATATATATATATATATATATATATATATATATATATATATATATATATATATATATATATATATATATATATATATATAAGGGAAAATAGGTTTTGCTTAGATTAATTTTCAAAAAAACCAACAACACAAAACTTTTAAAATAGTGTTATTGGTAGAAGGAGTAAATAAGTTTCCCATTAAACATTTAATTCTCAGCCATTTCAAATACACATTTTAATTTCAGGGGAGAGGATGGGGGGTAGTATATTTGGGATTTTTTTTGACAAAATCCCAATTTCGTCAAAGATGAATATATATATATATATATATATATATATATATATATATATATATATATATATATATATATATATATATATATTCATCTTAAAACACCCCCTGACATGGGGCTCTTGGTTGAGTAAAGGCTAGAGATGGTGTCTCGATAAAAATACTCATCTTGGGCAGATGTTAAATGCATCTGGCTGCTGTCTTGTAGAAGGCCTCCTAGGCAAAGACTTAAAGAGTAAACAGTTTTTATCTGTTGACCAGCCTCCCACCCTTTCTTTATCTATTAGGCTGACGCAGATGTATTTTTAATACATTGTTTCCAGTTTAGAATGTTGAATACTGGATCTTCTTGACTCAATGCATGTGTTTTTCTTGTGTCTCTATTTTTATGACTAGGGAACTCATTTTATTATCTCCTAATGAGGCTACAGCTCTAAAACTCAGTTTTATTGTTCTGAGGTCGGCTGGTTGTCAGGTTTCCCGAACTCTGTGGTAGCTCTTAGAGAGGCTGATTCCATCAACAGTTGAAAAATATCAAAGTATTAACAGTGCCATGTTACACATGGATGGTGTCCCTGTTTTTACTTTTGGTGTGCATTGTCAAGGCCACATTGGTGCCCTTTGTTACAGTTTAGGGTTTATTAATAGTAATGAGGCAATTGCTTGGGCTTTTAAACAGTGTACTGAGTACTATCTATGCTTCGAGTCAAGTTCTTTAACAAATATAAAAATGAATCAAGTAACAAAAAACCATTGCCATGTAAAACACAAAAAACCATTGCCATGACCAAGTTCTCTAAACCTGTCATTCACTAATATTTGTGATCTATATTTGTGATCTAATATATCTTCGAAGTAACTTTTCTTTTGTTGAGTATTATATCTTGCAAAGTTCACAAGACCTACTTGGTCTTTGTGAGACTAATTTAAGTTCAGTTGTCTCATCTTGCGATCTTAGTGTTGATGGTTATCTTCCTTTAATTCTTAAAGACTCTAATAGTCACATGCTTGGCCTGGGCATTTACATTCATAAGAACTCTCCCATTTGTCGAGAAACTAGGTTTAAATCCATAGACTACTCTTTTATGTGCTTTCGTTTAGTACCACTTCACTCTACCATCTTTCTCTTTGTTCTATATTGCTCTCCTTTATCTTAAGACTGCACTCTTCTTGATGTTATTTCTGATCATATTGACCAAGCCCTCTCTATTTATCCATCACCCAATATAGTTGCTGTAGGTGACTTTAATGTTCATCATACTACATGGCTAGGCTTTAGTGTCAGTGACTCTGTAGGCATTAAAGCCCACAACCTTTGCCTTTCTCAATCCCTAACTCAAATAGTCAACTTTCCAACTTGCTTTCCAGACAACCCGAATCATTTACCTTCTTTACTCGACGTATGTCTTGTTTCTAGTCATTTCTTGATTCTAGTCAGTGCTCAGTTTCTCCACATTTACCCTTAGGTGCCTCTGATCACAGTTTGATCTCTCTAAAACTATTATCTCATTCTTCTTATATATCATCATACATCTTACAAGTACCTTAAAGCTGACTAGGACTCTTTCCATGATTTTCTTTGTGATGGCCCCATGGGTAGGAATCTTTCTTTTTCCTGTTGACAAATGTGCTTCTTACATAATTTCGTGGATTCAGGCTGGCATGGAATTTTTTATTCCCTCTCAATGATTCCAGGTCAAGCCTCACTCTTCTCCATGGTTTTCCTCACATTGTACCTCTGCAATTGCCAATCGAAACTATTACTTCCATATCTATCAGCGAAACTATTTCCCCAGAAAACAAACGTCTGTTTATTACTGCTAGGAACCATTGTAAAAAGGTTTTGTATAATGCCAAAACCCATTATTCTCAGGTCATGAAATCTCGTATTTCATCACAAAAATTAGGCTCTTGTGACTTCTGGAGAATTTTTAATAGTTTCAATAATAAGGACAAGTCTGTAATTCCACCTCTTTTGTATGGTTTAGACTTTGTCACCTCACCTAAAGATAAAGCTGAATTGTTTGCTAAGAACTTTTTACCAATATCATCTCTTGATTCCACTAGTTGCATTCTAGCTGATACAGCTGTCAAACAGATTGATCCATTGCTTGACATTTGTAACACTCCAGCTTCTGTATCTAAAGTGATTTCCTTCTTAGACTCTTTTACAGCTTGTGGCCCGGACAACATACCTGTTATAGTCTTGCAGAAGTGTTCTCCGGAGCTGTTGTCAATCTCTTCAAAACTATTCAACTAGAGCTTATCAGAGTCTTGTTTTCCAGCCTGCTGGAAAGCAGCATCTGTTATCTCCATTTTTCAAAATTCTGGAGAGCAATCTGATTCATCTAACTATTTACTATGGATCTTTCAAATATTCTCACACCCAAGGTAGCATTGTTCACTGATGATACTACCATTTAATCTTTTCATGATAAGAAGCCAACTCTCTCTGATTGCTAGGAGGGGGTATTTGTGTTTGAAAAGGATTTTACTTCTGCTACAGCATGGGGCTAACAGTGACTGGTGAATCTTAATACAGATATAACTAAAGTTTTTTCAGTCAATCGTTATCGCAATAATTTAGACCTTCCTATATTTATGAACGGTAATGTACTTAATGAGTCATCTACCCTTCATCTTCTAGGATTAACTCTTCAATCTCTCTTTGAAACCATATATAAAATCTGTTGCAAAATTAGCATCTGTTAAAGTTGCATTTCTTTATCGAGCTTAACACTTTCTTACTCTGTATTATGTTCTCTATCTCTACAAATCCAGCCTTCTAAATCAAATCCGGCCTTGTATGGAATACTGTTGCCCTATCTGGGGCGGATCTTCTAATGATGCCCTTTCTTTTTTAGACAAGGTGCAAAAAGCATTGTAAACATAGTTGGACCTGCTCTTGCAGCCAACCTTCAATCGTTATCACATAATGTTGTAAATGTCGTTATGTTGCTTCTCTTTCTCTTTTCTACAAATACTATAAGGGGCACTGCTCTAAAGAGCTAGTGTCTCTTATGCCATCTACTAAAATTCATTCTTGCGTTACTTGTCATTCAATTAAGTCTCATCCTTTTTCTGTGACTGTTCCTAAGTGCTTCAAAAACTCTTATTCCTCTAGTTTTTTTTCTTGAACCTCAGTCCTTTGGAATTTGCTTCCTTCATCTTGCTTTGATTCATATAATTTGCAATCTTTGAAGTTATCTGTCAATCGTTATTTTGCTTTACAATCTTCACCTTCTCTTTTCCTAAAACTTTCAACTCTAATTAGTGGTTGCTTGCAGCTTTGTTGGAAACAAAGATGTTTGAAAAAAAAAAAAAAAAAAGTACACGAGCAGTGAATCTAAAACAAACTTGGCAGATGACACAAGCCCCCCGCTCTGATTGTGCTTACACAGGCGATCAGCATTTTAGCATGTTTATACAATATTTAGATAAAAAAGTTCATGGAGAAAATAACAACAGTTGTTTTTATGATATTTATTTATTTAAGCATTTTTAGCTAGCTTTTCTATTAAAGCAATTGATTACTTTATAAATATTTTTTTGTTTTGTGTTTCTTCCATTTTTCATTTATAAAAATTCATTTGTTATTCTTCTTCTTTGTGAAACATTTTTTCTTATTTGAAAAGTTTAGAAATTGCACTGAAATAGCTCCAAGCAAAAGAATGAGTAGTTATAAGGAAAGGCTTTTGTACTTTTAAAATTGTTTTTGTATTATATAATTCAAATTTAAACGAATAAATTTTATTAAAAAAAAAATTATTTAGTTATTAAATATCCATCAATCTATTATTCTGGCTATTTTACGTACGAAGTTTAAAACACAACTATAAAAATATGTTGCACATTAAAAAGCTCTTTTGTTTTTAGAATAAACAGTTTACATTTAATATTTTATTTTTAAAAAGAAAGTATAAAACAAAAAACTTTTTAAAAACTTTTAAATCTCCATAGTTCTGTTGTTGTTGTTTTTTTACAGTTTTTTTTTATATGGTTTCATAATGAAATTTATCATATGAACTTATCAAGCTTATTTAAAAATAATAATCAATTAAAAAAAAATCTTTAATAATGATTTAGTAAAACGTTTACTTGGTAAATAAAACTAATTTTTTCATCTTAAATCGTTTTTTACAATCATTTTTTTGAAAAACTCAAATGCTTAGTTAATAAATGTGCTGATGTTCCCCACAGATGGCTGTTTCATTAAAACATCAATGTTCCATGGTAAGGTAAGCATGCAAATATATTTGTGTATATATACACATATATACAAATACCTTTGTGTTCTTAACTTTAGGAGATATATCCTATATTTTTCTGTTTAATATAGTTTTATATAGTATGATCTTTTTTATCTATTTTTTAAGTGTGGCATTTATTGTGGCCAATTCAAGACAAATGTAAGTTACTTTACAAGCACATCAAATGTAATTATGCAGCGCTAATAAAATGGCAAATTATGATGGGCTCGAAGAAAGCATTCTCTTACCTCCTATTTCCCATAAAATAAAGATACAATGCTCAAAAAGAGGAAAAAAAGAATATTTTAGTGGAAGCAAGAATTCTTTTTATTATGTAATTACTTTAACAGCTTAAGCAAGGTGAGTGTAGTTACGTTTATATAATGATAGAACTTAATGATGGATAAAACATAACTTAATGATGGCAAAACAAGTTAAAATATACCTAAAAGACATAAGTTTCTTGTTGTTTTTTTATGGAGATAATACTTTTTTTGAAAACATGTGTAACTTTTGCTGATAATAAAATAATGTTGATGAAGTGTTTTTATTAATTTTGTTTAATTTAAAAATTTAGCAATTATGACATTTAAAAATTTAACAATTTCTATTATATTATTTCTCGATTACTCCTAAAATATAACAAATTAAAAATAAATGTTAAATAAAAAAACTATCTGTTAAAAAAATATATGCATATGTTAAAAGTATTAAACAATCTCCATTAAAAGAACATAAAAACAAATTCAAAACATATTTGATTTTTCAGGCACAAAAAATCATATAACAACAATATAGAAATAAGACCATAAAATACTTCTTGGACCTAAGTTACAAATTAGTCAAACTTCTTATCAAACTTGTAACTTAGGTCCTTGTTAATTCTACATTTCGTCTCAATTTTTGTCTTAATTAAATATTCTGGAAATATTTTGTTCTTATTATAATTTAAACCTTTTCTTCTTTAAGCAGTATTTTTTTGATTTTTTTTTTTTTTTTAAACTTCTTAAATTTAAATTTCTTCTTTAAACAGAATTTTTTTGATTTAAAAAATATTATGGATCATTAATTTATTTTGAAGATTGTCTATCTCTCTCTCTTTATATATATATATATATATATATATATATATATATATATATATATATATATATATATATATATATATATATATATATATATATATATATATATATATATATATATATATATATATATATATATATATATATATATATATATATATATATATATATATATATACAAATAGTATTGCATACTATTGTAAGCAATCTGAAGTCATACTGAAATAGCCTGCTGCTGGGGGCTTCAGTACATACATTGACTGACAAATAGCCTGACTCGCAGTGGAGTGCTGCTACATCAACTGAGGGTTTGGGATGGGGAAGCAATCATTTCATTCATCATTGATTGTTTTTTCTTCTTTTTCGAAAAAAACGGTAGAGCTTAAGGTAAGTAGAAAACGTGAGCAACTGCTTATCAAAACACGCTTTAGTAAGTGTGTGTGTATATATATATATATATATATATATATATATATATATATATATATATATATATATATATATATATATATATATATATACATATATGCATATACACTGTCATTTTTAATTCTTACATTATCCATATTAACATATTAAACCCATATTATACATATTGAAAACATCTTAGATAATGTAAAAATTAAAAATTATATGCACAATTACCTTTTTTAACTTTTGTGAAAGTCGACTTTTGAGTGGATTATTAATCTATAAAATATAGATATACTTTAAAAAATAAATGTAATAAATATAATAACAGGATAAAATGAACACATTAAATCAAATAATTAAAAAAATCAAAAATTAAAAATTTCTTTAAAAATAAATATAACTAAAAAAATTAAAATAACAAATATTAATTTAATAAAAATCAATGCAATAAATTAAATATAATAACATGATAACATGAGCACAATAACATAAATATTTTGAAAAAAAAAAATAAAAAACTTCACCAGAAAAAAAAAAAATAAATAAATAAATAAATATATAAAACGCATATTTATACTTAAATATCAAATTTAACTATATATTAATAAGAATAGAAAATATACAAAACAAACTTCTTAAATGCAAAAAATTTGTTAATTAATTAATAATTAAGAAATTTTTTTTTTCAATATTTGTATTGAAAAATAGCATAAATAATACAATGATGTTTTTAAGACAGAAATAAGATAAAAAAATTAAAAATTAAAAATAAAGTATTTTTGCAGTAACGCACTTTATGTAAAGATATTGCCTACCCAAACCTTCAATGATGTACTAAAGCCCCCACTGAACTTAGTATGATGTCATTGAAAGAAATTAAAACTGTATAAAACCTATTTCAATTAAAAAAAGATAGAGCATTGATATTTAACAACAAATAAGTCCTCACACTTTTTAACTTTGAAGGTTCATTTGTTGAATATTGATTTTCTCTATCATAAGTATTTTCTAAAAAAAAAGCATCATCATTAAAATAATTGAGAAAACAAAAAAAAACTATATATTTTAAAATTGTGCAAAATTCATTATAACTTCATGGACTAGGTGAATAAAAGTTAATAGGCACATACAGTATTTTAGAAATAAGCGTAGATAAAGAAATAGCTACCTAAAATGTATATGTTGGATACATATTAAATTTTAATTATCTATTTTCTATAACTTTTTAATCACAAATAAGTACAATGCTCAAAACTATTTTTATTTCAATATTTTTTTAAGTGGAATGTTTTTATTTCTATTATATTTAGTTTTACTTTGATTTTTGATTTTTAATTTTTGTTTGAGGTGCCCCAAGAAGACCTAAAGGTATTGTAACAGAGACTTGTCTACAAATCTTTGAATCTTTCATGTAGTATGCCAATTCCATACTGGAAAAAGTCTTGGTCTTTTGATCCAATCTAGTCATCAACCCATTTTTGGTATTGTCATAAGAAAATTGCTGCTCAGCTGGGCCATGTGCCATTGACCGGAATAAATGGTAATCAGCGGGACAATGTCTGGTGAATATGGCAAGTGGGGTAGGAACTCCCATTTGAGGTTCTCAAGGTAATTTTTTACAAAATTTGCAACATGGGGTTGCATGTTGATGGCTTGCCGGGCTTGATCTATGCTTTTCTACGTATAGGGTTGTCATAACATACTCATCACCAGTAACAATTTGATGCAGAAAACCATTACTTTTCTGTTGCGTGTGTTGCAACAGCTGTTGGCAGGTAAAAAACTGTCTTTTGATGTCCCTCAATTTCAACTCATATGGCACCCAATCTCTTTGTTTTAGAATCATTCCCAGTTGTTTCGAGCTCTTCGAAACTGTTAATTGATCAATCCCCAATGTATCCGCAAACTCTTCCTGTGTCTGGCATAATCTTCATAAAGTAATGCCTCCAATTTGATATTTTAAAACTTTTCACCACCAGGATGTTCTTCATCTTCAAAGTTAAAATTACCATTCTTGAAATGTTGAAATCAAGTTCTGCATATTTGCTCTGAAAGAGCATTGTTGCTTAACACTAATATTAGGTTAACACTAATATTATGTTAACACTAATATTAGGTTAATATTAGTGTTAATATAGGCCTAAGGTTTTAGCTTTCAGGTAAAATTTATTTTAGCCCTAATTGATATACACAAGCCAAATTATGAGTATGAATACAAAACACTCATTTTCAAAGCCAACTTCGAATACTTTATGAATACCAAACATAATATAGATTCATGTCAATTTTGAATTTTGAATTTTCACTTCTTGTATGATGTAAAACATGTTTAAAAATTTAATAAAATTTGATACTTCAAAATCAATTAAATATGAGTAACCATAAGGGAAGGTTATTTGAAAAAAAAAAACTCATTGTTAACACTTTTTTGTAACTGTTTTATTTATTATTTTATTTATTTCACTTTTTTCAATTTTTACTTTTTGACAATATTAATAATAAAAAAAAAAACTAAATTTGATTAAGTTAAAACTAATAAATATTACCACAAAAAAAAATTAAAAAAATTATAAATATATATATATATATATATATATATATATATATATATATATATATATATATATATATATATATATATATATATATATATATATATATATATATATATATATATATATATATATATATATATATATATATATACCTTTTACTAATTGAAGATCTGCTGCTTTTTTCTTTAACCAGTCATCTTTAGGTTTCGAAAAAATTATTTTATTTGAAGAACTTGGTTTTGCAGAAGAATCACATTGAGTAGTAGCAAGCTCCAAAGAACCAATCAAATTCTTAAAATAGAAGTGTGTTAGATAAATCCTGAGTCATACTTAAGCAATGAAACAAACAGAATAATTATTAACATTCAAACAAATATTTTTGCTCTGATATAACTAGAACAAAATTACTTGATAGTTAGTGAGGCTGCTCAAATAATCTTCTGAAAGCTTTATATATTTTATAAGGTTTTTTTTTTTTTTTTTTTTTTGTTAATTTACCTCTCCAAGGCCAAGAAGACCACTACAGATGAGAAGGCTACTTATTGTGGTTATAACCCTCTCTCAACTCTATAACTACGAAACACAAACCTTGACAAACAAGGCCGCTGTGCAGAGAAACAAGTTCCAAGCAATAATAGTTTTAAATAATTGATAGAAAATGAGCGTTATAAAAAAATATATACCATAAAACAGGGTGACTGATAGATTTTTGGGCATTTTTGCCAAGTAACTTTTCAGTAAAACATATATATATTTTTTTCTGTTATAACATTATACCTTTTCTTCATAGGGTTTAATTCAAAAAAATATATATCTTTTTGTCTTACTATATTTTTCTCATCTTCGAAATGTTATCAATCTCACTCCTTCATTTTGCGTGACCTCGATAATTTAATAGATTTTTAGTGGTTTATTAATTTAACCTTCACAAGTGTGACACTTGTGAGGAAGGTAAATTGTGAGAGTGTGAGACTTGTGAGGAAGGCACATTGATGACACTTATGACAATTTAGTAAAACTTCAAAAAACTATCAATTGATAGTTTTTTGCAGTTTTACTAATTTAAAACACAATATAAAAACAAATTTATAACATTTCAATGGTAACATTATTAATAAAAATATTTTTTTTAATGTTAATTTATTAAGTTAGGTAAACATAATATGTTAACAGCATATTATAGAAGGCAAACAAAACAAAGAGCATAAATTAGTAGTTGAAAAATAAAGTTAACACATAAAATGTAGTTAATAAAAAATAGTAACATTAGTAGTAATGTCCTTTAGTTGCTAAATTTCGATCTGAAAAGATCGCAAAACAAAAAACTAAAAGACCATATAATGTAAAGTTAGGCATACTTTTGAGAGACATATATGAAACAACAAACTAACAACTGGTATCAAAACTTGACTACTAATTAAGTAGTACTGTGTAGTATATATCAACTGCTGTAGGGTACTAGTTATAAAAACTAATGTTTTAAAGATTTGATATTAATGCTCTAAAATCAAATGCTCTAAGATCAATTCTAATACACATGCTAAAGGATTTGCATCAATATTTTTTTAATTTGATATAATATAGCTATATTATAGCTGGTATCTATTATTTATTGGTGGTTGAAGATGTAGCATTATGTATGAGAAGTGTACAGCAACAACAACGCCCTCTGGAACTGGATATTTAAACAAATTTTTGGATCCTTTAACTTTTTTTAGAAACCTCATGATAAGGAATTTTAAGAATTTAAAACGGATATTATTTTCTGAGCATGCTTTGATGATATCAGTTTTAAAATGTGAAGCTAAATTATCTCCAATAACAATCTTTATTCTTGTAAGCGTTGCTGCTTCAATTTTTAAAATTTCACTTAAACAACGCTCTAATGTTCTAGAGTCGAACTAACTAGATTTTGAATCGTTGAATATGCTTCCAGGAGGGCCACCGCTTATCCACTCCATATAGTAAAAGAAATTGACCAGCTGCACTCCTGCAATCAGTTTGTTGCAAACAGTAAAGGATTTCATCCAATCAGGTCAAGGGAAGTATTTTTTTAAATTTTGAATCAGTGACATCCTGTCAAAATAGTCTTTTACTAGCAGAAGTATATCCATACTATCCAAAGGTATTTTTTCCAAACTGTCAAGATGCTAAGAACTTGATCCCTCCTAGTTTTTTGTCTCAGCTTGCTCACAACTTTGATGTCCTAAAGATTGATATTTTTAATATAATTTTAAGTACATTTTGCACGGCTTCTGCTGGATAGGATGCATATCATCTACCTGGTTTGCATTTATAAATTCTTATATTCCTTGCAACTTTTACTGTATATTTGCTTACACTTGCATTGTATATTTGCTTACACTTATATGTATACATATGTATATATAATTGTATATTTATATCTTTTTTAACTAGAATCGTTTAAAACAATAAAAAATTACAATAGGATTTAAATATCAATGACTAAAAAAATTTTTTTTTTTTTGATTTTTGTGAGAATGTAATTGGAAGTAACCAAAAATAAGTATCAGTTATAATACCATACAAGTGGTATTATGACTGGAATATGTCATTTAAACATCTATATATAGATTTTTAGAAAACCAAAAAATTATAATGTTTTGGGCATTTTTCAGGGACATGTAAAAATCATTATTTTGTTGTTCAGTTTAATATAAACACATTTCCACGAGTTGGAATCACTTCAATATCATTACAATATCAAAAATTTAAGTAGAATATACTTATATATCAGAAATAAAATTGAAAAGGGTGATTATTTTACAATTACATTTTCAAGCAAATACTTTTGTAACTAACAAGCAAAATAATCAAGTCGCCTCCATTATCAAAGTCACCCCATTTTACGGTATATATATATATATATATATATATATATATATATATATATATATATATATATATATATATATATATATATATATATATATAAATATATATATATATATATATATATATATATATATATATATATATATATATATATATATATATATATATATATATATATATATACACATATATACATGTGTATATATATATATATATATATATATATATATATATATATATATATATATATATATATACATGTATATATATATAAATTCTTGCAACTAGCTGACTAACCAAAAAGCTTTATAATTTTAATATTGATGAAAATTGCATACCTGTGATAATGAATCAGCAAGAGAGATAAGTATTAGGAAAATTAGAAAATATTGTGAAAAATTTTAAAAGTATGGCTTTACTTTCATAGTTGCAGCTGGAATTGAAAAACTATATTATGTTATTTGCAACTAAATTATTTCACATATATCTATGAAACCCAACAAACTTAAGGCAAGGATGTCCAATTTTTTTAGAAAAAAAGCTAACGATGTCAAGAAAAGCAGAACTGATTCTGGTGGCCAGTACCAACAGCAAAGTGTAGCAGCCATTAAAGCTTTAAAAATAAAAGTGGCTCTCAGAATCGGCAGAGCCAAAAAAACTCACACCATTGCAAAATATTTGTTGTTTCCAGCAACCAAAGATATTGTTTGAGTTATGCTTGGAGTTGCATATGTTAACAAATTAAACATAATATCCTTGTCTAATAACAATGACAGTAGAAGAATAGATGACATGCCTGGTATTATTCTTAATCAGATAATCCAAGAAATGAAACCTGCTTCCTTTAGAATATTTAGCATCCAAATTAATGAATCAACAGGGTTGATTCATCAATTTTACATAAGGTATATCAATAAAGGCGAATACAAAGATGAGTTACTTTTTGCAAACCACCTGAAACCATACTGCACACAATGTATTTGATATAGTTAGTTCTTTTTTTGAAAATCATGACATTCATTGGAAAAATGATTAAGGTGTTTGCACAGACATTTTAAGCAATTTTAGGATGTAGGTCTGATTTTCAATGTTTTGTAATAAAGTCATCATTAAAAGTCATCTACACTCACTTTTTAACTTATCAACCAGTGTTAGTGTGTTAGCAACCAGTATTAACAAAGACTGCCAAATGAATTTTAACAAATAATAAAAATGTTGTAAGTAAATTCTAAAAAATCATCAGCCAAGAACCAAGAGGCCGTATGTACATTTTTTGTGTTTCCAGGAAAATCAAGATTTGAAAAGTAATTTGTAAAGACTTTCTGCCGGAATGTCCGACTAATTATTTAAATATTTTCAAAAGTTGTATCATTTTTAAGGCAAAATTTATTGGACACTGGATTGGTTGTTGAATATTTATTAATAATAAACAGAAAAAAATAGAAAATATAAACATACGGCCTCTTGATTCTTGATGTCTGAGATTGTTTAGCATCTATTTCTTCTTTTTTTTAACAACATACTTTTGCGAAACAGGCTTTTCAAGCTTGCTGTGCATGCATTCGTACATTGTACAACAAGCTTGAAATGCACATTCACACAGAATCGAAACTTTAGTCACAAATTATGAACACTTTAAAGTTGAGGCTTTATAAATGGTTTACAATGTAATCATTTTACTCATTTGCAAATATTAAGCAATACATATAACAAATTGTTTTGTTGATAAATTATTATAAATTAACTATATAAAAATTTATAACAAAAAAATATGGCGCCTAAAATCAGATATTTAGAATTCAAAAAGTTTTTGTTTAAGTCAACATACATCAACAATTTCCATTGAATCTGGATCTGATTTCTGAGATAAATTACTAGTTGATAGTATTGAAAGTCTATGAATAAGTGATCCAAGGTCTTTGTATACAGTGGGTAAGAATCCGTTTGTATCAAAATATAATGGAGCTTGAGAAACAAAAGTTCGCAATGCCCGTATTGCAGCACGAAAAACAAACGAAAAATTCTCTGGAGATTTATTCTAAATTACAAAGTAAACAACTTTTAAAATACTAAAATTTACTAAAATATACTAAAAGTAATAAATTTCAAAAAGATTTAAAAAAATTACTGCTTTTGCAAGATTTATGTCCAAGTCTACTTTACTTAGATTTTGTTCTAACTGTTGAATATTTTTTTGTAACATATACGTCATGCGAGATAAGCGATGAATTTGTTCTTCAGCACGTATTCTTTTTTTTTTTATTTCTTCATAACCATCAGAATCTAAATAAGTAATATTAATATATATTATATAAGTAAAAAACAAAATCTGTAATGATAAAAAAGGTATAAAAGGAAATAAATCATAAACATGATGTCTAAAACTTGATTTGAAATCCTTAACTCTCAGCAAAGTAAAAAAACAAAATGATTTTAAAAACTTTTTAGGTTTCAGGCTTCTAAAAGTTTTAAAAAGAAAACTTTTATGTTAAAACCATGTATATTTATTAGGATTCATGAAATAATAAAGAATTTATATATTGTAGATATTTAAATAAAATCATGTAGTCTTTAAATATAACTATGAATGTTTATATCTCTGATATCACACTGAAATAGCCTGGTGTCAGGAGCTTCATACATTGATCTTGTAGCTTGCTGCCAAACATATTTTTACTAATTTATAGCTTGTTGCCGCAAAGGACTGCTGCTACATCAACTGAGGATTCAACATTCGGCAGCAAACTTTTCTTTCATGATTCTTTCTTTTTCTTTTTCTGAAAGCACTCTATTAACTATAAAGGTAGGGAAAATTAGTAATAACAAAGTTATTTATTAATACTATAGTAGATGCTATAGTATGCAAGTAAATGTAACGTTACTCAATATCCATATTTATACCGTTAAAAAGTTAAATTACATCAGTTGGTATTTTAAATTACCCCATTATAATTAAATTTAATTTGATAAACAATGTTAATTTAATAATTTAATTTGAAACCACATTAAAAATCATTCAAAGTCTTTATTTTATAAAATATCTTTTAATTAAACAACATTGTTATAAAAAAAATTATTAACAAAATTTAAATAAGTTAAAAAAAAAAAATTCCTTATTTTGAAAAACTTATTTAAACTTAAAATCTTCGTATATATAAATACTACTCATAAACTAGTTTATCATTTCTAATCGACGTTAATTCTATAATCAATCTAAAAACTTAATAATAATGAAAAATTTTTTAAAAAAAGCAATTTCAAAACTAAAAAAATCATCTTTTCATAAATTTGTTACATGTATATGTACCGCAAAAACCACATTCAATCTTTTTTTTTTTTTTTGCTTTTGCAGAAGACTGTTTTAAGTATGTGTAAAGTTACTTAAAATTAGTTCTTTCCGGTTGAATACTTTTTGAAGAATAGTTTTCTAGTTATTGTCAACTGAACTTTTAATATTTTTGGTGGGCGCACCCAAAAACTGCATTCAAAAAATTGGTTGTATCTTTGTAATCAGTGAATCTATGAACTTAATATTACATAATCTGCTTCAAATAAAAACAGTTATTGCTAACTTAGTCCAGGAAGAAATATCTGATGCACCACAAATTTCACGAAACTGGAACCCTAAAAATAAAATTGATCTTTTAAAAATAATATTTTTTAGGTATTTTACGTGTTCTCAATATTTACTTTATTCATTATATATCATCTCTTGATTTTTAAGATGTCTTTGCGATGTTTTAAATTAAGTTTATATTGTATTTTTTACATTTTAAAAAACAGTAAATTTTTATTAGAAAATTTTTTTAGGAATTTATTAAAACTCACTTTGTGTTAGAATCTATAGCAAAATGGTAAATTTTAGCAAAATGTCATAGCTGTTATGTCATAGCTGCTTGTGCTATGGCTGGATCATAACTTTTATACTAAACAAGATCATTCCACAACTGCAGATTATTCACTGATGCATTTGCAGCCGAACATGCTGAAAACCATGCTTTTATGTAGAAAATGGCATTAAACAAGCAAATGCAATGCAACTTATCCATTTTACCTTGATTACAATTCAGCTGCTTACCAAATGCATACATCTTTGCACTGTATAGGATGGTTGCTACCCATTGGGCATGACTAAAAGCTCCAGGTTGTAACCAGTGTACACCACAAAATAGTTTTTCTCCCAGAAGTATCAGTATCAACTCAGCATATTCCCGGTAGTCATCACAAGACATTGCAACTTCTGATGCATCATCAGATTGAGGCACAGACAGCCTTTAGCCTATGGTTGCAAATGTCAAGTTTTTTGTATGTCAGTCCTGGCAGTCCTGCTATGGGAATGGCAAGTCTCTCATTATCTCCAGGTACATTTTTTCTGTCCCAGTAAAGTGTGGCGTACTTTGGTAAAGTAAACAATGTTTCTGTTCAAATTTCCTTTTCTGCTTTTCTTGGACTTGACTTTGTTAGTATTACACTTTTCGAATCAGCACAACCCTCTAATATAACTCTAGCCCTCAATGCTGTTTTCTAACCAGCTGACAAATTCAACCTATTAGCTATTGTAGATATTTTTGCACTCTTTAACAGGTTTTTTGGAGGCTGAATTGTTACCATGTCTTTCTTGTTTGCCAAACTTGTCCAACTCTTCTCTTTTACATGACATTCAAAATTCTCGTCTTCTGGTAAATCAACAGAACTGTAACCAGTACTTTCATTTCTTGATTGTTGACCTAAGGATTCACCAATTGTTGAAAACATGTTTTGTTTGTTTGCTTTTGATCCATTTTCTACCTCAAGAATTGATTCTCTTCATTTTATGTTATGCTTTTTTCGTGTAGATCTTGTCTTCAGCACACACCATTTTTTTGATCTTAAAGCGCACTCAGGAATTCAAGATCTTTGTCCTTCATTTTTTGGTAAGAAGTCTGTTGGTTTCTATTTCCACCTGGAAATCTTAGTGTGTTACAAAAAAGTACTGTTTTAACTCCTCACTAAAAGTCTTTTTTTTTTCTTCGTTTGATTTGCACCCTTTTTTCTGCAGTGCCCTATAGTTATCATACAGAACAAGAACCTTTGCTTTTACCTTATCTCTACGTTGTATTTCAAGTTTTAGCTCATTGCTGCTGAACTTCAATAACAACTTCAATAACAGTTGTAATAGTGTTGTCTGTCACAACATTATTACAACTGCTTCTCATGCTTTATTAATCCATCTTTCAAATAAAAGAACAAGTGAATAACATCTCATTTTGTGAGGACTCTGCAAGCTGGTAAATATATAGGCTTTCCTATCACCCAGATAACATCATCCTTCCTCATAATCATGGCACAGTCGACACACTAATCCATTCCTGTTATTAATTAATTAGCAATCAAATACACAGTACTATCAAGTGAATTTAAAAATATAACATTTTTGCCTAAACGCCAACAGGAAGTCAGCCATTTTTCCACTTGTTACTTTTAATTACCGTAGCAAATGAAACTTTTCCAATATTGCATTTTAAATGCATATTGTCACATTATGGCATGCTGGTGGCAAAGCTTAAAGTTTTTAATTTCAACCAAAAATTTACCCATTTCATTTGCATGCAGGCTTGATAATGGTTTATCTGGCAATGCATTTATATACGGTTATAAATGCATTAAGTGCTTTCATATATTAGCATTTTCAAATTGAAATAAAGAAAATTAATTGACTTGAAACTGTAAATAATAATAAACTGATAAAAAATTAATTAATTAATAAAAAAATAAACAAAATAGTTAAATGTAAAACAAATATAAAAAAGTAACTAAAATTAAATTTATAAAAAAGGGTTTTCTTTAAGATGTTTAAAAATTTTAGGTAAAAAAAAAATTGCTAAACAAAAAATTGTTAAACAAAAATTGTTAAACAAAAATTTAAAAAATATTTTAATTTAATTTAACAAAATAAATGTTCATTTATTATTATTTAAAAATAAATGTTCATTCATTATTATATATATATATATATATATATATATATATATATATATATATATATATATATATATATATATATATATATATATATATATATATATATATATATATATATATATATATATATATATATATATATATATATATATATATATATCTGTATATATATATATATATATATATACATATATATATATATATATATATATATATATATATATATATATATATATATATATATATATATATATATATATATATATATATATATATATATATATACATATATATATTAGGGGCTATTCTAGGAAAAAAATATGGGCAGCAGTACCCCTCTGTCTCAAAGAAATTTAGCAGAAATATTGCAGAAAAATTTTTTGTTCCTGTTCTGTTGTATTTTTTTACTTTTTTATACTATTTTTATCATACTTATATATTTTTTTTAAACTTTTATTTTATTTCTATTTTTATTAATATATATTTGAATTTATTATTTAATTATAAAAATATATTTTTTATATTAATTTTTATTATTTTTATTCATTTATTTTATATTATATTTCATTTTTAACTTCATCTGTATACAAAAATAATTAATTACATTAATATAACAAAATTTAAACCTTGCCGTAATCTTAACCCTAAGCCTGACCTTGATGCCTGGCCTAACCAAACCCTCAGTCGATGTAGCAGCACTCCCTTGCGAGTCAGGCTATTGGATAGTCGATGTATGTACTTTTCGTACTCTATAAAAGTTTCTTATGGGTACATTTTTTTGCAAAAAAAAGTAATGTTTCAGGGGACAAAAAATTAACGAGTACACTAAAATGTCCCCAATAATGCTAATGTCCCCGCAATTTTCATTTTTTGTAAAATCTGTCCCCATAAGTGAAAAACTATACGAATATATATATATATATATATATATATATATATATATATATATATATATATATATATATATATATATATATATATATATATATATATATATATATATATATATATATATATATATATATATGTATGTATATATATATATATATATATATATATATATATATATATATATATATATATATATATATATATATATATATATATATATATATATATATATATATATATATATATATGTATATATATATATATATATATATGGACATTTCCATTTCTGTGCGTGATTTTTTATTTTTCTTTGTTTTAGCAATTAAAAGCTGGGACTTTATGCAATATGCATACTATTTTGATTTTCTTAAAGAACAATTATAACAAAAGTATTTTTATCATATTTTAGGCTATCTGAATAAATTAAATATACACATTTTTACAATTTTATTTTTTTGAGTAATAATATCATTACATTTTGAAAAATATACAATAATTTTCAAAACGCCATACTCTAGCTAGAAATAATTGATGACTGCCATTTCTCATCGAAAATATATTAAATATGAGTCGCAGAAGTATAAAATTTCACTTGAAATACTCACTAGCAATTTATTTTCATAAAAATAACTACATGAAATTGACAAATTTGCAACATCCGTGCGTGACTTCTGTGCGTGATCATTCATAAACTGCATTTAAACGATTGCTGTGACTCTATGATTCATGGTACAATCCTGTAACTTTCTGGAAATCTTTACTAATGTTTAAAATATTATTTTAAAAAAAAAGTATACCGGTGAAACTTATATTGTCGGAGGAATTAAAGTTTATTTATCTAGTAACTAAAATAGAAGTTTTTCTGTTCCGTGCGTGATTCCATTTCAAACTTTATTTATTCTTTGTTAACATTACTAATTCTTACTATTTTTTGTTTACAAAATATTTATATTGATTAGAATTAAACGAGAGTAAATTAGAGATCGCTAGTTTAATTTTTATGAAAATAAAAGTAAAAACATATATGGGTTTCCGTGCGTGATTTTTTGGAAATGCCCATATATATATATATATATATATATATATATATATATATATATATATATATATATATATATATATATATATATATATATATATATATATATATATATATACATATATATATATATATATATATATAATTGCCTGCAATAGGAAGTTCTAAATATAAAACTTTTCAAAAGTTTCATCAGTTATTTAGAAGACCATTCTAAATAACTGATAAATAACACCAGTCCTTCTTTTAGAAGCTTTTCTTGTGCCATTTAAATTTTCACTATAACTAATTAAAGACAAAAGACAGAAAAATTATAACTTGCATCAAAAGGTACAAAGCAAACCTTATGTAACCACTTTTATTTTAAAACTTTTATATATTGACCTATTTTTAAGATTTATAAGAAAAACTTATAATTTCAATCTTGACCGTCTTATGCCGTTTTTCAAAATGAACAACTTTTGATGGAAATTTTCAACATTTAATCTACTTTTATAGCTTTTCAAATGGCAAGTCTAAAATTTCAGACATCATGCATCAATAAAATAAATCACCTTTTTTACTATGATCATGTGGCTGAGCACCTAAACTTTTAACAACATCTCCTAATGTTTTTGCATGGCTAATTAGCTCATTATAAAGCTGTAGTTCTTCGCTTTCTTTCTTGTAGAGAGTAGACAATCTTGTTTCTGTTTTTTTACTAGCTGGTTTTAGTTCTCTTGAAGCAGTGGACTTTGTGTCTGCATGTACACTTAAAGAAAACCTAAAAAATGTTAATAAGCTTAACAAATATATATATATATATATATATATATATATATATATATATATATATATATATATATATATATATATATATATATGAAAAATTAAATCCGGGCTGTACCGGATTTAATTTTTCCAAATCCGGTTGGAGCCGAATTTGCTGGATTTCTACTATCAGATCCGGCTGGAATCGGAGCTGGAGTTCAAAGCAAAACTACAGGAATCAAAATCCTGTACATCCCTACTTGGAGCTGAAAATGGTCAACAATGTTGACTATTTAGATCACCAAGTGACAGTTGTTTTCTATTAAGATAAAAATAAACTAATTAAAATAACAAAAAACCGTTGTTTAGCGTCTGATATAGGATTTTGCTTTTTGATCTTTTTTTCTTTTTTCTTTTTTAATTCATCTGTATTTTTCTCATAAGTAAAAACCTTCATTAACTCAGCTAAAATCAGATATATTCTATTTAAAACAAACCTATATATTTGGGAGAAAAAAATGTAATGTGTTGTGTTGAACTACACAACACATTACAAGTTAAAACTACAAAACTATATCTTTTTGGAAACTTTTAAAAATGTGTAACTGTAACTTAATCACAAATAACTGATAAAAAAAAATTTACTATAAAGAATGTACAAATTTGAAATAATAACAAAACTTTTTATGGCAAACTTTACACTTTCTTGACACAAACTGAGAACATACTTTAGCTAAATTTTTTTGGTTTACAAAAATAATTACTTTCTTTGACCTAGTTTAAAAATACATTTAAATATTGTAAATAATAAATTATTCTATATAACCAATCAGCAAAATTGCAAGAGACTAAACTTATAATTTGCCATAAAAAGTAATTAAGCAGCAAGAAACTATATTGAATATTTTAAAAAATTATCAAAGGTCAGAAAGTCTATGATTTATTCAATCTTATATATAACTGCAAAAAAAAAAAAATTAGTTGATTGAACCCTGAAAAAATAATTTCAAAAAAAAAATAGTTTTACCTTGGCATGGATCTAACATCATTTTTAATTTTGCTATATCAATTTTTGCAAGCTGAACAGCCATTGCAAGTTTATCACTGGATAATACACTACTCAGTGATGAAACCATGTTTTCTGAAAAACAAAAACAGCAACTTTATTATTTAGTTAAGACAATTTAATAATGTATTCTTTTTTAATAATCTTGTTGAAAATACCTTTGATTTGATTTGAGTTCACTTGAACTTCTTCAGTAAATGGCATAAGCTTTTCAATAATGATTGGTGAAGGATTCTCAACATGATTTATACCATATTGAGGTGTAGAATTTAAAAGAAAGTTTTGTCTAGTGAAAGGATGATGAATGTTCAGGAATGAATCGAAATGAACTTGATTCATATCTTGTCCAGATTCTTGATGAATTCATCTTCATGACATTTTGTAAATTCTAATAAAATTCAATCAAAACTAAAATAATATCTAATCTTATTATAAATCTAAGTTTATCTAAGACTTGAAACAATATGAAGGTTTATGAATTATGTTTTTTTTTTAAATAAAACTATTTTTAATATAATTTTTTTTTTTAATATAATTTGGCGAAAAAAAAAATTTCAAATAGAAAAATGCCGCACAAACTTTGTTTACATTCACAAAGAATTTTTTTTTAAATAACTCTCTTAGAGCGGGATAATTGAATGCCGTTAAAATCTTTCTAAAATATTCTTATTTTAACGGAACCTTCTTTGCCATTTGGGTATATGAATTACCCAGTGGGCACGGAAGTAAAAAAGACGTCTTTTAAACGTTTAAAATACGTCCAAAACGTTCAAAAGACGTTCAGAAAACGTCTAAAACGTGTATAAGACGTTTAAAAGACGTCTTTTTTTACTTCCGTGCCCACTGGGTAGCCTTCTTTGCCATATTTATATTAATTGCAAATGACTGAAAAAGCCAATATATGACCTTTAATTTGCGTTTAATGCGTGTTGTGAAAGATTTCTTCAGAACACGCATTACTTCGGATTTAGTAAAAGGTCAAAAATTAAAGGTCATAAATTGGCTTTTTCAGTCATTTGCAATTAACATACATATACCCAAATGGCAAAGAAGGTTCATTTTATAATGCAGTTAGTCATATTTTTGTATCCTTATGGCTAAAAATTGCGTAAAAAACGTGAAGTATCTAAAAATATTGGCAACACAGCCATAAATTGTTAATAATTATTATTTACTATAGTTTTAGCTCTAAGTTAACAAATAATGTATACATACAGGAAAAACACCATACTATAAATAACTAGTTTTATAAATAATTGTTCCGAATTTGTTCCACAACCAGGACTCAAGTCTAATTTTTTTTTAAAGTACTTGCTCAGATTTATACCTTAGTTATTTATATATATATATATATATATATATATATATATATATATATATATTATATATATATATATATATATATATATATATATATATATATATATATATATATTATACATATTTTTATATATATATAGTTATTTATATATATTATATAAATTTTTTTTTAAAGCAAATATATCTTATTATATCTTAGTTATTTATACCTTAGTTAGTTTATTTTGTGTAATAAAGGATTGGTTGAACGCAATCTAAATAACACAGCATTTTGAAATCTTTTACTTATATAATCAAGTGTTTGTCCACTCGTATACCAAGCGCAGACGATCCTGCAGATCAACAAGATTAGTCTGTAATAGAAAAAAGTTTAGTATGATCGGCAAATATCTCTGAAGTTTCAGTAAAATTTGGAAGATTATTTGTGTAGAGAATGAAGAGAAGCGGATCGATAACTGAAACTTGAGGAACACTACTGAGAACATCAACCCAAACAGAGCTGGTATTGTTAATTGCGTTAAACACGTTGCCTTCTGCGTTGTAAAAAGGAATTGATTTATTGTAAGAGTTTACAGTTTATTCCATAGGATCTTAATTTTAACATAAATCTATTGTGAGGTACAGGATCGAAAACTGAAAATAGGTCGATAGTTTTCAGCAAGTAGTTTATCTCCCTTTTTTTATAGACCGGACTAATTTTTCTAATTTCTACAGCGTGTGTACCAGAATTAAAGGATTCATAAAAGATTTTTGTAAGTGAAATTGCAAAGCTTTTGGCACATATCTTAAGTAATAAGGAATACAAACTGTCAAATTTAAAAAACTCATAAAGGTTAAGATTAGTAAGTCCCTTAATAATGTCTAAAATAAAGAAACCCAAGTTGTCACAATGCATTCAAGTTGTCACAATGCATTCAAGTTGTCACAATCCATTCAAGTTGTCACAAGTTGTCATAATGCATTCAAGTTGTCACAATGCATTCAAGTTGTCACAATGCATTCAAGTTGTCACAATGCATTCAAGTTGTCACAATGCATTCAAGTTGTCACAACGCATTCAAGTTGTCATAATACATTCAAGTTGTCACAATGCATTCAAGTTGTCACAATGCATTCAAGTTGTCACAATGCATTCAAGTTGTCACAATGCATTCAAGTTGTCACAATGCATTCAGATATAATCTTACTTTTTTTTAACGGTAGAAAATAATCAGAACTTTTATGTGTAAACAGATTTAAATTGAAAGTTAAGAAATAAATTAAAATAAATATTCCTGGGGAGATTACAAACTGCGTATTTATATGTAGGCTGAATTCTTGTAACAAAGTAAATTCGTACTGTAGAAAAATCATATGGTGCTGGAAGAGCTGTTGGTTCATTTATAATTTTTTCAATGAACTCCATAGTTTTTCTGTCAGGAGGTACAGTCGTGTGCAGTAAAATAGTAGTGCACATTTTATTTTTCTATCAACAAACTTTGAACATCAAAATATATTTTTCTATTGTTTGTTTTTTATCGTTGTTGTTCATAAACTAAATGTTGTGATTAAAATAGTATAAAAAAAATTTAAGAAAGATAATTGCAGCACTGTATGGTTTAAAATTTCAATATTATCGATTGAAGGTCATTCGTATTTTTTTTTTAGACTGTGCAATAAAATAGTAGTGAAAAAATTAATTTTTGTGTAATATTTGCTGTACTTATTAAATTCTAATTATTATTAGTTCTTAATAATAAGCAATAAGTAAGTAATAAATTTTGATATTAAATAAATTTATACACTTACTAAAATTTTGAAAATTTAGAGAAACATGGGGCGCTCTAAGCATTATACTGAAGAAGTTCGTAATTTAATTATAAATCTTAAAAATCATGGTAAAGCCTACAAACAAATATAAGAACTGGTTGGATGCTTACCAACAATGATTTGTAATGCTTTAAAATGGATACCCAAACCAGAAAAACGTGGAAATAAAAGATCAACTACCGTTATAGAAGATCGTCGAATAGTATCGTTAGCAAAAAGACTAGAATTAAATGTTAATACCTCAACTATTCGAAGACGATTAACACCTGCTAATATAAATGCAAGAACATTTAGAAAAGTGCCACTTTTGAGTAAAAGACATTTCGAAAATCGTTTAAAATTTGCACGTATGCATGCTACTTGGCATAAAGAAAAAATGGCGAAATGTTTTGTGGACTGATGAAAACAAAGTTGAAATTTTTGGTTCCTATGATCGTAAACAGTATGTTAGAAGACCAACGGGTGCAGCATATAAGCCACAATTTACATTAAAGACCGTCAAACATGGGGGCTCAAATATAATGATATGGGGTTGTTTTTCTTACTATGGTCTTGGGCCAATACATTGCATAGAAGGTATCATGGATCGGTTTGTATATGTAAAAATACTTGAGGAGATCGTGCTGCCTTATGCTGAAGAAGAAATACCGCTAAATTTTTTGTTCCAGAAGGATAATGATCCCAAACATACGAGCAAGTTAGCCAAATCGTGGTTTAATGAGAACAAAATCGATGTGATGGAGTAGCCAGCACAATTCCCCGACTTCAATCCGATTAAAAACTTGTGAATTAATGTTAAACAAGCAGTTTCTGAAAATAATCCAAGAGGTTGTAATCAATTGTGGGACGTAGTATAGTCAGCATGGCAAAATATATCTGTCGAACGATGTCAGAACCTTATTAATTCCACGCAACGAAGATGCTGGCGGTTATTACAAATAAAGGTAACAATAGCAATAAAAAACAAACAATAGAAAAATATATTTTGATGTTCAAAGTTTGTTAATAGAAAAATAAAATGCGCACTACTATTTTACTGCACACGACTGTACAAGCAAAAAAATGTTCGTCAGTCCAAATTTAAGATGAAATCATTTTGAAGTGGCAAATCTTAGAACAACTATCAATAGGTTAGACAAGTAATTTCACTTGCTGTTTTGTCTTTCTTAAAGCAAACAAACACAATTCATTTTGATTATCTTTGTGATTTAACGCACGAGTAAACCTTGAAATACTAATGGTGTTTAATCCTTTGAGAGACTTCGAAATTTTTTTTCTTTTTCAGAATCTGTCAAAGCAACTTGCAGTTTAGTGGAAAAATTGTTTTCTTTTTTTCATATAGTTTTCATTTGCAAAAAATCATATAAAAAACTGAATTATTCTCCAACCACGTTCCATGATCGAAAATCGTTCTTTGAGGTGTTGTAGAATCACGTCAATTAACCGAAGTGAGGAGATGAGCCAGTTTTACCACAAATAATGTGGTAAGGTTTTTTTGCGTCTTCGCAGCAACAGCTTCAGCTTCTGCGTTTTGTTGTTTAAATTTTATTTTTTCAGCCCCGTACGGATGAATTCGAGTACTCATTTCAAATGAAAATAGAATTTGTTTATTACTTTCGCTGTTAAAATATAAATTTCGTTGTCAAATGGGTTATTTAAATGGAAACACCAAATACCTTTGCTTAACAAAAGTATATATCGCACGGATGACTACGTACTGGTTTAAGATGCAGACTTACTTTAATTAATTACTTTGAATGAACGCGTTTAATAGGGTTCTTTCGTTGCGTAACTGTAAAAAACCAAACTCTAAATAATAGTTAAGCAAAAATCCACGATAATAATGTTCTGTAACGAAAATAATTATGTTCGGTAACGTAAATAATAATGTTTGGTAACGTAAGTAACAATGTTCGGTAACGTAAGCAAAGTAAGTTTAATGTATGTGTATGTATGTGGTATCAGGAAAAAAAGTTTGCTTTACTAAGCCAGTCACATCTGACGAAATTTTTATTATTTTTTTTTATTAGTATTGAATTCTCAACAAGAAAAAAATATATATATGTTTTAACTGATAAAACGAGTATTAAATAATCAGCGGCGAATCCAGACCATGTAAGAATTTTTAGATTTTTTTAATTTGGTAGATCCAGATCATCTAGTAAAGCAATGCTGGATTAAGGGAATCGAGGAGGGGGGGGGGTTGAAGCCCTGCAATTTTAGGGGTCCCTGTTTTAAGGACTTTTTTTTTTTTCATTTTTTACGCTGTGGCACACAAAAAAATTAGTCTTGGGC